CCAAATGAGTTACCCAGTATAGTGTATGTTCCGATGTCAGATGTCTCGCCCTGTATTGTGTTGTGGCGACGCTAGTCGTTAGTTGATTACAGAACAGACAGACGAGTGAACAAGAATCAGAATAGCCAATCACGAACCAGGACACCAAGTCGCTGCTGCCACGGGACGTAGCAAGCAATATATAATAATAGGTGGAACTTCCGGATAATATAAAAATAGCATTCTTTTCACGAGTCAAAAAAATATAATTTTTAATACCTTAAAGAGCGCGTATTGTGACCTTACAGCATCCTAGTTCCCACAGGAGAGAATTGGTGACCCCGACGTGATCATCGACGCTATACGGATTCAGTACGACACGTACAAGCGCAGTGGACAAGCTTTACCGTTGAGTGCCTTTGTTGGTACGAGGAAAAGCGCCAAGCGAAACAACCATGACCGTCGTTTTGTTGATTCGTCACTTTCTCGCGCACATCGTGCAAGCCGCGATCCTGCAGTTTTTCGATCCGAACCACCCCGGACAAGCGAGTGCGGGAAAGCTTGAAAAACATTTTACAGCCGAGAAAGCCCAAGCATCACGTGGGCTAAGCAACCGGCTCGCCATCTTGCCTTCCCGTCTACTCCCCGCGCGCACAGTTTGTATACGAAAACATTCTTTCACGCATGAGTGGGATAAGTGGCATATATCCGAGAGAGCACGGCATCTCGGCGCAGCTTTACTCGCGCTAGGATAACCGCGTGTCAACGACCGTGCAATTAAAAACGATTTCTCTCCGGCGACCCATCATACCGACTGAACACTCACCGACCCGCGGAAGGAACAACGCCGCTGGGAATAACACCGTCGATGGTGCTCACGGTCCCTCAGGCGAACAGTCAGGTAATCGGAACGAGCAATCCGGACGAAATGTCCGGGCAGGCGACCTCATCGACCTAACGTCTCACGAGTTGCTTCGTTGCGGCCAACGCGATCCGGACGACCCCGCGGCCCAAGCATATGTGGTTCGAGCAATCAAGACGTGCACCTTTTGGCGCGACCACGCGAAGACATGGTTCAATCAATTGGAGGCCAAGTTCCGAGCTCACAATGTCCGATCTGATGACTTGAAATTTTGCCTTGTTGTAGACAACCTAAATAAAGATTCCATACTGGAAGTCGCAGATATCATTGAATCATCACCACTCACGGACAAATATACCCGATTCAAGGAGATGCTCATCAGCCGCCTCACTGACTCGGACGAAAAACGATGGAGGAAGCTGTTGACCGACATCGAACTCGGAGATCGCAAACCATCACTCCTCCTCCGAGAAATGAAGCGTCTGACAGGTAAGCGACGAACAATTATTACAGCAGTCGACGAACAATTATTACAAACCTTATGATTACAGCGCATGCCACTCAGAGTGCAAGAGATCCTCTCTGTCGTCGAAGGCGTTGGAAAAAATGGCCGACCTAGCCGACAAAGCCATCAAGCGGATCCCCTCAACGGCAATCAACATTCAAGCAGTCACAACTGAGTCGACGGCAGGAATAACTACTTCATCCGCTATCGAGAAATTCACGCAAAAAGTCCAGGATCTTCTCACTTTTGTAAAACGAGACCGTGGTTTCAGATCTCAGTCAAGAAGAGAACGAAATCGCTCACATAGCAGGTCACGCACTAAGACCGACACCAATAAATATTGTTATTTTCACACAAAGTTCGACGCCAACGCAAAGAAGTGCACCCAACCTTGTTCATGGACCAAAAAGCTGACTGCGGCGGCAGCAGCCGACTCGAAAACTAACAGGGCCGTCACATCGGGCGGTACATGACGGTCTCTGCGGAAGTAATCGCCTAATCGTCACGGATAAAAGAACCGAAATACGATTCCTCATCGATACTGGCGCTGATATTTCTGTTTTACCCAGAAGATTGTCCAACCGAAACTGTTTGCCGTCGACGTTTCAACTTTTCGTCGCCAACGGTTCAATCATTGATACCTTCGGAGAAAAAAGGATGAATCTCAACTTAGGATTCCGCCGAGAATTTTCGTGGATCTTCGTGATTGCCAACGCACAACCCATCATCGGAGCCAACTTTCTCAGACTTTCGGCCTCCTGATGGACATTAAGAAAAAGCGGTTGATTGACAACATCACTGGCTTACATCGAATTTGCCAGAAAATTCATGACAACCGTCTCACCAGCATGAGTATTTGCAATAACAACGACTCTTATGTTGATTTACTGCGAAAATTTCAGGAAATAACCACACCAAACAAAACCGTCAAGGCAGTCGAAACCGGGGTGATGCATCATATCGTCCCGCAGGATCCACCCGTTGTTGAACCGATGCACCGGCTTCCACCTGAAAAATACAAAGTCGCCAAAGCCGAGTTTGACAACATGCTCGTATCAGGTATCTGCGAGCGTTCCAGCAGCTCATGGGCCGCACCCCTCCACCTAGTCTAGAAATAAATCGGGTCAATGGAGACCATGCGAGGATTACCGCCGTAGAGATCGTGGTTCCGGGGAAATACGTGGTGGAGTGTACCACGGTATCGTCGGGACTGGAACAGGCTTCGCTGAGACCACAGGTGGTAGCGGCGTGATCGGTACTGAGCGGAGGACGGCCTTGGGTCTTTCGCAGGCCCTCTTAACGCCCCGTGGTTTGAAGACGTTGCTGGCCAGTCTTGGTACGCCCTCCTGGACGTCTTAGGCTCGGCGTCAAGGTAGGGTCGTAGACGATCTTTCTTACTTGTTGGGAGACGTAGGAATTCGGACCCTTAGTATGACCTTGCGTGAGCGAGGTACAAAGTCTTGGTGGTCCTCCACCAGTCGGGAGCTACTTCTGGCCGAGGTGGTCCCTCGTTGCGGTGAGGATGCCACGGTAGTTGGGTTCTCGGCGCCTCGTTACTTCGTCTGCCTGACTGCAGTGGAGCTGGTCGCGTTCTCTTCCTCGAAGTAATCTCCTCTACGAGAAGAGGCTCGTCCTCTTTTGCTGCCGTGGTTGTCGTCTGCTGGTCTCTTCCTGGATATACTCTTCTACTGCTGCTGCTTTCTTCTTGATTGATAGAAACGAGAGATGACTTTAGCTCCGCGAGGGTCCTCCTTATATTTCCTGAATGCTGTCTTCGACTTACGGGAAAAGCACAGTTGGCGTGCAACGCCTAGCGGAGATGCTCGGTACTTGGCGCGCAGCTTATAAGTAACCGCCGCGTGCTTTCCGTTTGCGAGAAAGCGAAGTCGCCGCGCGCTTGCGAGAAAGCAAAGTCGTCGCGCGTTTGCGAGAAAGCAAAGTCGTCGGGCGCCGAGTCAGCGCGCTATTGCGAAGAGACACTTCCGATTAGACACAGTACAATTGGACACAACTGGCTTTGATTGGCTAATCGTGCTTGATCGTGCTGGTTATCCTAGGCATCGGTCGATATAATTGGCTGTGTCCAATCATACTGTGTCTAATCGGGCAATCCCCATCGCGAAACGTATTATTGCGTGTGGCGTGTCATCAAATTCCAGTCGCCACAGCAGATTTCTTCTACCATTTACATGGTTGCAAAGTATTCTCAACGCTAGACCTCGTGCGAGCGTATCATCAAATTCCAGTTGCACCAGAAGATCAACCAAAAACGGCAGTCATAACCCCTTTCGGGTTATTTCAATTCAAGGTCATGACCTTCGGGCTTCACAACGCTGCCTAAACGTTTCAACGTTTCACAACGTTGGACGTTACTCGAGGATTGGATTCATGTTATGTCTATATCGACGACATCCTCATCGCGTCAAAAGACCATGAAGAACATCGCAAGCACTTGCAGACTCTATTCGAAAGACTCCAACGTTATCAAGTCACGATCAACCCTGCCAAGTGTCATTTTGGAAAATCATCCGTCAATTATCCGGGATACCAGATCGACAAAGACGGATTACGCCCGTTACCAGAACGCGTAAAAACCATTTAAGACTACCCTCAACCGCAAACAATCGCAGAGCTTTGTCGTTTTCTAGGCATATTCAACTTCTACAGACGGTTTATTAAAAATGCTGCACATACTCAAGCTTCACTTAATCAGTTCCTGCAAGGAGTTAAACGAAAAGACAAACGCCCAGTTCTTTGGACTTCTGAATCACTACAAGCTCTCAACGAATGTAAACAACTGTTAACCGAAGATGCTTTACTGATTCATCCTCGCGAAGGAGCGAACCTTGTGCTCACTACCGACGCTTCGGATACAGCAATGGGCGCCGTCCTGGAACAAGAGAAAGACAACACGCTTCAATCACTAGGATTTTTCTCGCGCAAATTCACAGCTGCGCAGAAAAATTACAGCGCTTACGACCGCGAACTTACAGCAGTCTACCAAGCAGTAAAGTATTTTCGACCTTTAATCGAAGGAAATACGATATTAAGAACAGACCACAAACCTCTCACGTTTGCCTTTCAACAGAAATCGGACAAAGCCACACCTCGCCAATGGAGACAATTGGACTTGCTTGGACAATATACGACTACGATCATCCACATTCAAGGGTCGAAAAATAACGTCGCAGACACGTTATCTCGTCTCAACATTTTAAACCTATCCACTGTAGTGTCCACCGCAGATATCGCCGAAGCTCAAAAAAAAGACAGAACTACAATTCATTCTTCAATCGGACATGGCCCTCCAATTAAAAAATTAAGAGTTGACGATTCAGAAGACACAATTTACTGTAACGTCTCCATAGCCGAAATCCGACCTTACATGCTACAGCCGCTCTATCGACGGATTTTCGACGTCGTACATAATTGCTCTCATCTCAGCGGACGCGCCACGAAGAAAGTAATACAACAACGCTTCGTCTGGCCTAATATGACAAAAGACATTATAGAACACTTGTCTCGCCTGCCAGAAGAGCAAAATTTCAAGACACATGCACACAGCTCCCGATCCCCGCAGGTCGTTTCCAACATATATACATCGACATCGATGGACCAATGCCTACTTCAGATGGATACAACCACTGTCTTACAATGACCGATAGATTCTCGAGATGGCCAGAGGCAGTATCCATCGCATCTACCACAGCCGATGACATAGTCAACGCAATCTGGTCGCCTTGGATCGCCCGGTTTGGAAACTCATAAACTTATAGAATAGACTGGCCCCTACCATAAGAGGCAGCGTTGAAAGATCTAAAGGACAGAGAGATGATTCCGGGTATCTTTGTCCTTCTCTTTTGTCTCGTGGTGGAGGCACTGATGGGATGAGTGAAAACGAAGCGAGCATGCGTGTAGGAGATGAGGGGAAAGCAGTGTGCATGTTCGCTTCGTTTTCACTCATCCCATCAGTGTCCCCACCACGAGACAAAAGAGAAGGACAGAGATACCCGGAATCATCTCTCTGTCCTTTGGATCTTTTAACGCTGCCTCTTACGGTAGAGGCCAGTCTATTTTATAAGTCTATGTCGGAACCCCTCATACGGTGACCACCGACAGAGGATCACAATTCGAATCTGCCATCTTCGATTCATTCATTAAATTACTGGGCTGTTCGAGAGTTCGCACGACAGCGTACCACTCAGCTTCCAACGACATCATCAAACATTGGCATCGATCGCTAAAATCAGCCATACCTTGCCACACCAACCAACAATGGACTAAACTACTTCTAGTTGTTTTGTTAAACTTGAGAACCGCCATTAAGGAGGATATCAAAGCCTCAGCAGCGGAAATGCTTTACGGAGAAAGCCTCAGGCTCCCAGGCGAGTTTTTACTCGATCATCGAACGCTCAATCGGACGTCATCACCTTTTGTGCATAACTTAAAAGAACACATGAGGACCGCACGACCTCAACCAAGCACCTCAACCAAGCACCTCAACCAGCACATCACCAAAAAAGAAAGACTTTCCTTTTCAAGAATCTCATCACTTTCTCACACGTTTTCATAACAGTTGATAGCACCAAAAAACCACTGCAGCCATCCTATGAAGGACCATATCCAGTTTTTGATAAAGTTTTCAAAGTCGCAGTCAAAGGTCAACTCATCACGGTATCAATCGAAAGGATTAAACCAGCCTATTTGGAAAATGGTACAAGGGATTCAACGGACCCTAACTTAGAAGCAAATCCTTCTACATCATCAACACCTAAGACCTACCTTGGTCCCAAAACTAAGAAGACTGTTACCTTTCCTTCTTCTACTTAATCTCTGAAAGGGGGGGTGATGTGGCGACGCTAGTCGTTAGTTGATTACAGAACAGACAGACGAGTGAACAAGAATCAGAACAGGCAATCACGAGCCAGGACACCAAGTCGCTGCTGTCAGGAACGTAGCGAGCAATATAGATGGAACTTCCGGATAGTATAAAAATGGCATTCTTTTCACGAGCAAGGTCTATTTACTACATTGTGTATTTGAGTCAAAAAAAATATAATTTTTAATACCTTAAAGAGCGCATATTGTGACCCTACAGCGTCCTAGTTCCCATAGTGTGTGTATAAAGATTAGAAAAAGAGAGAAAGAGAGAGCAAGCGAGACAGAAGGATATTGCCGTGATTGGTTACACATCAAGTCCGCGCATGTGCAATTCATTTTAATCTACGCTAACATCAAAGGTGCCGATAGAGAGTTGTGCTACTGTATATACTGTGCCTCTGTACAAAGATCGCGCCCACACAGACCATCACCAACACCAAAACGGTTAAGATCCAAAAAGGCAGCAGACACAGAGTCCGGATCACCACAGGAAAGAGAGCGCAATTTTTTTAAGATGCATTTTCACGTGCCGCTGAAACTGATCATTTGAACGATAAAAATGATCACGTGACGACTTTTGTCGCTAAACTATTACAGCGACAGTTTGTGCACATGAAAAAAGATTGCAGCGATAAAATTGTGTTGTAGAAAGCAATAATGGTAGTTTCTAAAAGAAGAAAATATTATAAATGAATATCAAATTATAATAAAATAATTCGACGATAACGTCAAATACAATTTGAAAATGATATCGTTTTTATTATATTACTATCGACATATCAGAAATAAAAAAGACATTATTGAAAAAAAAAATTTTGAGTCGCACCATTTTTTCAAAATCATGATCAATATGGATTTTACAAAGCTATTTTACCGAATGTGAGATTAGAAAGTGCAAGATTTCTGAATTATTTTCGTATTTATGTCATCAATGCAACTGGAAAATTTATTACATTTTTATTTTAGTACATATAATTAATACAGCATGGCAGCACTGTCAGCAATGTTATGGCCGCTCCCTAGTAACTTTGTACCGCGCACATGCGCACTAGCCCTAACGAATAAGAATATGTTGTTAGAGAGTCATATCTATATATAGATATATGCTGTGTTCTTCTCCAAAGATTAGTTAAGTTAAGTCGTATGTAAGTTGGTGAGAGAACCTGTTGTTGGCCTGAATCTCACGATCATTTTTCGGAGGTGGCCATTTAAACCTAAAGAAGAAGAAGAAGTTGGTGAGAATAAAGACTGAATTTTATACCAAAAAGGCATCCTTGTCTCGACCCAACCAAACGATATACCTAGGGTAAAGCACTAACCTACGCCACATAAATTGGTGATCCCGACGTGATACGAGCACGGATAAAAACAGAAAAAACAGCGTGCAATCACTACTGCGCATAACGTCCACAGCAGAAAACATCTTAAAGAAACAATAAGATGCCGATAGATAGATCACCTACAAGAGGACCCGAGGTAGAGAACGGCAGTGCATCTGCTAGTCGTCCCAGCGGCGATCAGTCACTTCAGAGAGACAGTTCCAATGGAGGAGTTTCGCTAATATCCTCTCGTCATGTGGAACTGCCGCCATTTTATCAAGCCGATCCACGCTTATGGTTTACCCAGGTAGATCTAGTATTTGCCAATTTCAATATAACTTCAGACACAACAAGATTCAGGTATGTCGCCACACAATTATCCGGAGAAGCACTACGTAGCGTGTCAGACTCCGTCCTTAACCCGCCAACCGAAAATAAATACGAGAATATTAAGCGACGTGTTATTTCCACATACGACGAGGGAGACGAAGCACGTCTCCGCCGACTACTCCGCGGACACGAGATGCGAGATGAAAAACCAACAGCTTACCTCCACCGTCTGCGAACTCTCGCCGGAAACCAGTGTGGGGACGCCGTCATACGTTCATTATTCCTTGAACAGCTGCCAGAACCCACACGAGCAATACTCGCAATTTCAGACACAAGTGATCTTCAACGCTTGGCAGAGATGGCTGACAAGGCACTTGACGTAATAAGGCCTACGGTAGCAGCAACCCAGATTGTCCCTACGAAAAGCTCAAGAGCGTATGAGAACTCAGGTACGCAACCCACATTAGAAGAGTCACTTAATGCGCTAACTTTGCAGGTTGCCAAAATACAGAAACAATTAAACCGCACCAAACGATTTCGTCGCTCTCGAAGTAGAGGAAGAGAGACTCACACTAGAGCCATCACTCCTACGCCAGACTATGCAAACAAATCTGAAATGTGTTACTACCACAATAGGTTTGGTGCTATTGCGAGAAAGTGCTAAACTCCTTGCTCATGGTCCGCAGGAGCCAAGTCGCAACAGGAAAACCAGTAAAGTCTCTATATATAGAGGCGGCTACGGGGATTAACGGAACGTCAAATCGCCTCGTAGCCGCCCCATATACGGAGACTTTACTGGTTTTCCTGTTGCGACTTGGCTGGAGAAGTCAGATTAAGACTTAACCTTAAACTGCGCAGAGATTTCGATTGGCAGTTTATTATAGCGGATGTACAACAGCCAATATTGGGTGCCGATTTTTTGAAACATTTTAAACTACTCGTCGATCTCGACAACCGTCGATTAATTGACTCGGAGACTGAGCTATACGTACTGGGAGCAATCACAACGTGCAGTACTCTAAACCTAACGAAAATCAGTCACAACAATTGTTTTAAAAGCATTCTGCAAGAATTTGATGAAGTCACACGTCCAATCAGAAGCCTAGAACCCAAACACGGTGTACAGCATCAAATAATTACTACTGGACATCTAATAGCAGAGCGTGCTAGACGTCTATCGCCAAACCGTTACAAAGCAGCTCGCGCTGAATTTCAAAGTCTCATCCAGCAGGGCATCTGTGAGCCATCCTCAAGCCCATGGGCCTCTCCATTACATATGGTCAGGAAAGCTGATGGAACCTGGAGACCGTGCGATGATTATCGATGGTTAAACAAAATCACAACACCTGACAGATACCCGGTTCTTCATTTACACGACTTCACACATCGCCTGCATGGATGTAAAATTTTTACGACGCTAGACCTAAACAAAGCATTCCACCAAATTCCGGTAGCACCAGAAGACAGACCAAAGACTGCCGTCATCACCCCATTTGGTCTGTTTCAGTTCAACAAAATGACCTTTGGCTTGTGCAACGCTGCGCAAACATTTCAGTGCCTAATGGATATCGTACTCCGAGGAATAGACTACGCATTTTGTTTATATCGACGACATCCTAATTGCATCCATTACACCAGAGCAACACGCAATACATGTACGCGAAATTTTATCACGACTGCAGCAACACGGATTATCAATCAACGTGGAGAAATGTACCTTCGGAGCAGAGAAAGTCCGTTACTTGGGATACATAATCAATAAGGATGGGATCGCCCCTCTCCAGGATCGCATAGTCGCAATCAAAAACTACCCAAAGCCCAACACAGTGAAGGAACTACGTAGATTTCTTGATTTCATCAATTTTTATCGCCGAATGCTTAAAGGTGCAGCACTTTATCAAGCACCACTTCATAAGCTCGCGAGTGTTACAGGAAAAAATGACAAACAGAAGATATCCTGGATACCAGAGACACAAGAGGCTTTTAAACAATGTAAGAGACAACTAGAAGAAGCCACCCTCCTTGCGCATCCAAAAGAAGGAGCACCACTAATTTTACAAACAGACGCCTCAGATACGGCGATCGGTGCCGCCCTACAGCAATTTCAAGGAGATAAGTACGTACCCTTGAGTTTCTTTTCGCAAAAATTAACAGAAACACAAAAGAATTACAGTACCTATGATCGTGAGCTTCTAGCAATTTACAAAGCCTTAAAGTATTTCCGCCATCTTGTAGAAGGTCGTGAATGCATCATAGCAACGGATCATAAGCCATTAATATATGTCTTCCATCAAAAATCGGAACGAGCATCTCCGAGACAGTTGCGACAATTAGGTTACATTGCTCAATTTACTACTCACCTAATTCGCCTACCTGGGAACAAAAATACGGTTGCAGATGCGTTGTCCCGCATCCAAGAGATATCCATGCCAGTAATCGTTTCAACTGAAGACATCGCACGCGAGCAATTAGAAGATGAACAACTTCAAGACCTTATAACATCATCAAACCTACAGCTACGCAAGCTACGTTTGGACGACTTCGAACACACTATACCCAGCTAGCCAAGCTTGATATGACATATTCAGCAAACAAATGCATCGCATGTATTATTATATATTTGCAGTATACTTGCTGACATCGAGATACAATGCGTTACGAATGCAGCTATATGTCTGCTTCTACATGCAATCAATTAACGAAGCAAATGGTCTGCAATATTGATATTACATTGTCTACACAAGCTTACGTTGTCAGCAATATGCTGACATGTTGCAATTAATTTTTTTGTTATTAGCACATGAATTCATGTGAGTTCAACGTAACAGACATAATGCTGTCTCACCTTGTCTCTAGTTTCTTAAAATTAGTTGCTTCAACAATTATTGGCAACATGACAGCAACCTCATTGCATTTGGCTATCTGGGTATATTGTGATGTTTCCACTAGAGAAATACGTCCATACATACCTCGAATTCTACGTCGCAGCATATATAACACCGTACATCGCTTATCGCATCCAGGAGTTCGAGCCACCAAGGAGTTAATTGCGCGTCGGTTTATCTGGCCGAATCTCAACAAAGACATCGCAGAATGGGTGCGTGGCATGCCAGCGCGCGAAGATCCAGAGGCATAATAGAAACCTTCCGGAACACATCCGAATTCCGGATAGCAGATTTTACCAAGTACACCTCGACATCATTGGTCCACTGGCACTGTCTCACGGATACAAATTCTGTCTGACCGCAATAGATAGATTTACCAGGTGGCCAGAAACCATCCCTATCAGAGACACTAATGCAGACACCATTGTAAACGCATTCTACGCAAATTGAATCTCCCGTTTTGGCGCTCCAGCAATTGTGACCACAGATCGCGGTTCTCAATTTGAATCTAGAACGTTTCAGGCTCTCATTCGGTTGATAGGTATACGTAGAACCAAGACCAGCTTACCATCCCGCCTCCAATGGTATGGTGGAGCGATTTCATCGTTCTCTCAAATCAGCCATCCGCTGTTACGCAACTATCGAATGGATAGACGTCCTTCCTACGGTCCTGTTAGGCTTGCGAGCTAGCGTGAAAGAGGACTTAAAAACTAGCGCAGCAGAGCTAGTCTATGGAACCCCCATCCGTCTCCCAGGAGAATTTTTTATAGACGAGGATCCTCCAGAAGACCCACAAATATTTATCGAGAAATTACGCGAACGCATGCGTAAGATATGTCCCACACCAGCAGCACATCACATTAATTCAAAGGTATTTAATTACAAAGATCTTTTCACTTGTTCACATGCATTTGTTCGAGTAGATGCAGTCAAAAGGCCTCTCGATTATCCGTACGAAGGCCCTTATGAGATTGTGGAAAGATTATCTGACCGAGTCTTCAAACTCAATATAAAAGGAGAACAAGTAACAATTTCAACAGAAAGACTGAAACCGGTATATCAAGAAATAATACTTGCAGAAGATACCACGCAGCATACATCAGCTCAGCAGCCTTTAAAAACATACCCTCCAGCGAAGAAAAAGGTCACTTTCACATCCTAGACAAGTCTAAAGGGGGAGTACTATGGCCGCTCCCTAGTAACTTTGTACCGCGCACTAGCCCTAACGAATAAGAATATGTTGTTAGAGAGTCATATCTATATATAGATATATGCTGTGTTCTTCTCCAAAGATTAGTTAAGTCGTATGTAAGTTGGTGAGAATAAAGACTGAATTTTATACCAAAAAGGCATCCTTGTCTCGACCCAACCAAACGATATACCTAGGGTAAAGCACTAACCTACGCCACAATGTATCAGCGTTTGACATATCGTTTGAGCGATAATGCTTTGTAGTTGAACCGATCTAAACTACAAAATTGTAGCTGCTGGATTACGAGCGACAAATCTGTCGCTTCAATATTTGTTCCAGCGGTATGTGAAAATGCACCTTTATATTTACGCCCGTTGGGACTCCCCCTATAGACGTTCTCGCTACCAAGGTTCGTGGGAGAGATATATAAATACTCTTCGCACCCCACGCCTTAATGTATATTAATTAGATACAGAATAAATGTTCTTTTTTACCAATCCTACCGTGTAATCAATAAGTAAGAACCAATCATACTCCCTGCAGTTCCCTACAAATATATTACTATATTAATAAATATATTACTAATATATTATATTAACTATTTTATAATATACTGTTTTTTCACATTCTTATATTTAATTTACAATAGTTTACAAAGTTGACAAGATAACAAAGTTCATGTAAATATGATGTCAATACGTAAACAATTCATGTAAACATAATTTTGAAATTTACGGTATAATCCTGGTTTTTTCAAGTTTATTCAATAATTTTATACATTGATGATAACAGTTCGAAATCGCATCAAGATGCAAAAAAATGCGAGTAAATTTAAATTTAATCATTGACAATAGATAAAATTAAAGGCACCGATTTAATTTACATATCTAATACAATAATTAAGATACATTTTATCATTATATTATAAAAAAATTCATATATAACAAATACTAAGAAATTATGTAGTTACAATCTTAATATTATGAATTGTATTATAAAGGTGGCCATAAAATAGCTATTTCTGCGTGCGCTGATTCCGGCAGCCATTTCTGATAGGGTACTAATAAGACTGAAATTAAAAGATTTCATATTTAATCAAATATGTTTAAGCAAGTATTCAGTAAGCAAATATGTTTAAGACTCCGGCATCTACTTAAAGTATAAGATCATTATATATGACGATATATCAGAACGAAGATTACTATTAAAATTCTGAAAATTCACATTTAAACTCACATTTCTTATCTGTACTCCACATTTGCAGCAGTTTATCCTTGGACATGATTTCGTACGATAATAATGCTTGTACTATTGCTTGAGTGCGTGGTATTAGTCTGGAGAAGTCACAGAATTAATAATCTGTTTAATAGACATAAAAAAATATAAAATAATAACTATATATTATTACTTGGCCCAAGATTTAGTGACGCTGCTCGGTGTCGTTAATAATGATGGCACAAATCGTTTCAATTTAGGGCATATTTGACCTTGTAAGAAGAAAAATGTGAACCACTTGATACCATCCATTGTCAATGGATGCTCTATATCCATTAATGGAAGTTTCCACCCTGCTCTTCCAAATGTGCCGCTTACACGACAAATAATTTTTCCTGTTTCTCGATCATACCTGTAAATGATTAAAAAATCTCAAATACAATTATTTTTATATAAAAAACATTCTCTAATTTACATTTTAAAAAATTTATTTTTTCATTCCTCTTTCGTTCATCTCTATCTTTCATATAATTGAAATGTAATTCCAATATTTCAGTTCGATTATCTTTCTTTCGGTATAAATTTGTTTTTTTCACTTGCAGATTATTGCTACACAGATATCATATAAAATTATGAAATATAGATATTACAAGAATAAAATTCAAATTTTATTTATTGTAATACAAACTGTTATGTTTATGTTAATTTATTGTAATACAATATTAACAAAGTAAATGAATAAAATTTACATAAGCATCTTTGCTAAAAAAATTTTTTTAATTATACTATAAAAATGTCTTGATGTTGCTCGTATTACAAAAATTTCGGAGTGCACAGTGCTAGAGAATTTCATTTCTTGCACTGTTTTTTTACTATGTTTTCTCACTATGTTTGCCACGCAAATATGCTTATAGTGAAAATACAAATAAAAACGCAAAGTGCGCATTTTTATCCTGTGCAGAAGCATACATATGTTACATTACATGTTACATTCCATATTTGTAATAGAATAAAAAACAAATTAAGTTTTTAGAATGAAAGCTTAGATAATCTTAAAATAGAAGAATATTATTATATCAAAAATCATATAATAAAAATAATTATAGAAATTAGATGAAAAATATATAATATTCGATAATATAATAAATACAAACATTTTAGATTATGTAGATATACAGTTGGGAAAAAATGATAATTGTAATAAGACAAATAACAATTATAAGAAGAATACCTTGGTGGTGGATCAATCAATGGTTCACTGAGGTTGCACAATGTAGGTGCAAATTTTGGTAACCATTCAGGTTCTATTGCTGTGACATTTCGCATATAAATCTTATTTGTTTCATAAAGCTCTTGGTAAACTACCCAATCCGGACTGGTTTTCCATAAGATGCATGAAGAATGCATGAATATAGGTTCCTCCATTTCTGCTGTTCTAAAATGTAAAAATATAATAGAATAAATTGGAAATTATTTTGAATTAATTAAAATATTCATAATAGTTAATATACTTAATAGTTAACATACTTATAGGCGTGCTTCCACTTAATTTTGTTGTGATCTTCTTTTATCTCATCAAATGACACCTTTTTCGCGATTTGATCCGCCATACCCGCAAGAACTATCTGACGGAGTAATTTAGCTTCGATGTCAGTTGGTAGCACCATTCTATAAAAATTCTTTCATATATATACAGGGTGTCCCATTTTAAAAGTTCCACCCTCATAACTTTTTAGGATCAATGTTTGAAGGAAAATGACTCGGATAAAAGTTGTATGGCTTGAAGGGGGACATAAGATGGTGCCATTAACTTGACCTTGAAGAGTCACCTGAAGGTCATGTGATCATCTCCAACCTTTTAAAATGTAAAATATCTAGTAAAATATTCATTTTTCGATTATCTTACCTTAATACATTTATGCACAAAATAATGTGAGAAATCGATTGGTGTAAAGAAAAAACAGTTATTTTTATGAAAAAACATGTAATTATTAATTGCAAATTACATATTTTTTTCTCGAAACAATTATATATTTTACAAAATATTTTACGATTTATGTAAAATTAAAAAATTATTGCAATCCTTATAACTCGAAAAGTACTCAATGAAAAAATACTTTATTATAGTGTTTTGGAAAGCTTTTGAGGCAAGCTACAAGAATATGTAAAAGTATATAGGGTGTCCCATTTAAAAAGTTCGAGGTGATCTTCACGTGTCCTTCAGGTGATTCTTCAAGGTCAAATTAATGGCACTATTTTATGTCTCCCTTCAAGCCATACCACTTTTATCCGAGTCATTTTCCTTCAAATGTTGATCCTGAAAAGTTATAAGAGTGGAACTTTTAAAATGGGACACCCTGTACACACACACACACACACACACGCACACGCACACGCACGCACACACCCGTGAGAGGGAGGGAGGGTATTTTAAAAGGATTATTGAAATATGTAGAAAATAAGAATTACAAAAGTATATATATGCGCGCGCGCGTGTGTGTGTGTGTGTATACAGGATGTCTTTGAGCACTTCATCACGCACTTGTAAGGAGATAGAGCGTAGTAAATTAAATAAAGAAGTCCTATTCCATGTAACGATTTTTGCAATAATAATAGAAATATTAATTATTAAAATCGGACGAATGAGAGAAGTGCTCGAATTAGCATGCAGGCAACGTCTAGCACAACTCACTGTCAGACGTTGCCTGCCGGGGCGCGGCAATATATACAGGGATATTTATATCAGAATATATAATATAGATTTTATAAATTAAAAAAAATTTGATAATGCAAATTTAAAGAAACACAAAATTGATCAAATTAGTTATATTTTAATATTGCAGGTTGCATTACGAGAAAAAAAAGTTCAAGGAACTAGGATCGAATCTTGGACCTGCAGCATAATAGTCTCAGGCTCCTACTGCCTTTTCGATAATCGGTCAAAACTCACCGGTATACAAGATACCGGTATTTTTTCGATCGATTTTCTTCGAAAACGACTTAGCATTGGCCTCTAACATTTTATCCGAGTACTTTTTAAACAGAGTACTATATTGCAATAAAGTATAATTTAATTCGGTGTTCCGAGAATCGTGCTCTTCCCCTGTCAGTTGTAATGTTTTAGTAAAAAAAAAATTACTTTTAATGTTACTAAAACAAGATAGAATGTAATAAAACATTTATTTTGTAATATTTTTTATTAAATTATTAATAAAAGCAATAAATTTATTTTAAATTTGCAAAACCATAAAAAAATTTAAATAGAAAGATTTTAAAATGCTTAAAATGAAAAAAATTTTGATTTCTACTATATTTATAAATACAGCTAAATTTATACTCTTTTTATACTTTCAATTTTATGTTTCAAAATTTTAATATAATAATTTTAAATTTAAAATTCTTCTAAAAATGCATGAAATTACAAGGACAATTATTTGGATTAGGATATAGAATTATTTAAATCACAAATTTCATGGTACGGAAATAGTTAATGATATCATTGATTAATTTTTTAGGAAAATGGAATGGTTGTGATTAGCGCATGATCATTAACCCTCTCCTCCAGCGATAATTATAATAAATAAATTATAATTATAAATTATAAATTTATGTTATCCAAATTTAATATACGAATATTGATTGATGACTGAAAGTTGAACATTGAAATTGATGTGAAAATAGCAAAGATGTGCATTGTTTGAAATAAAATTACATTTAAAATAGAAATATAAAATGTAAAATATCTATTTTATAAAATATGTTTTCATAAACCATTTTACATTTTTATTTAAATGGTTTTTATTACCTGCTTTTTTTTATTTCAGATGCATTTTCTTTGCAAATTGTAAAAATTAATTAAGATATACAGAAAAATCTTCCACTTCTTTATGTCCGAAAAATGTAATTCTTATTTTGATTTACAAGGGGAATATCAGGTAGTGAGATCACGAATTTTGACGAACTTTAAATGTTTTAGAGTTAACCCTCCCCCCCACTATTTCACAGACAAGTGGCATGATGCAATATTCAAGTATTCACGAGAAATCTGCATTGAAAATTTTGTGCGCCTTTTATACCAAACATATTTGAAATGTTTGGAGGTAGGTAACCGTAGCGGATGAGGAATCTGACAGAAACACGATATGTAAATTTTTACAAAGTGTACATTTAACATAAATTAGATGGAATCGTCGAAGTAAAAAAATTATTATTTTTATCATTGAATTTAATTTTTTACATTAATAATTATATTAAATATAATTATAAAATAATATATATACCGAAGAAAAAATATGTAATTTGCAATTAACAATTAAATATTTTTTCTTAAAAACAACTGTGTGTTTTCTTTACACTAATTGATTACTTTCATTATTTTGTGCCTAAATATTAAGGTAAGATAATCAAAAAATGAATATTTTACTAGATATTTTATGATTTATATAAAATTAAGATATTACTTTAAGTCTCATAACTCGAAAACTACTCAATGAAAAAATACTTTGTTTTGGAAAGCTCTCGAGATAAGCTACAAGAATGCAATAAAAAATAGGGATTTCAATTTAAAAAATTCAATGTGACCTTGATATGAGCTTAACAACTCCACCCAAGGTCTAACTAATATTCCTATCTTCTATCCCCCTTAGAACTAAACAACTTCTTTCTAAAAAGTTTTCTTCTAAAACTTGGTTTTGAGATATTTGAGATACTTGGTTTGAAGATATTTGAATGGATGGATTAAAATGACCCACCCTGTATATATAATATATTATAATTATTATGTATATTTATAATTATTAAATATAATTTATATATGTGTGTGCATGTGTGTGTGCGTGTGTGTGTGTGTTAATTATAATTATTAATATTATAATTATTAAATATAATTATATTCTTAATGACCATTTAAATGTGATTTTGGAGATTTTTGTTAAATATCGATATTAATCAAAATGATATTATTCGTACGATTACAGACAGAAATGCGGCGTAAAATGTATTAATATAAAATGTGCATTAATATAATTATTAATATAAAATATTATGTTTAATGATAAAAATAATAATTTTTCCACTTCAACGACTCCATGTTGCCTAATCATTCACATTAATGTATATTTTGTAAAAATTTACATTTAAAAAAGTTAGAAAAAAGCAGGATTTTTCGAACCTGCAACATACATTGTTCCCGTTCGCTGTTTCATCCGCTATGCTAAGCTTATTACCCACAAACCTCTTAAATATGGTATTAAAGACGCGTGAAAAACTTTCAATGCAAATTTTTTTGTGAATACTTAAATATTGCATGGTGTCACTTGCCTATGAAGTAGTGAGGTTAGCTCTAAAAACATATTTAAAGTTCGTTAAAATCCGTAATCTCGTTACTCCGTAATACTCGTTGATATTCCCCTTGTCAGTAAACGATTTTTTAACGGAGGAAGAATTTGAATGAAGTACTAAATAATTTAAAACTTCCGTTTTTTAAAGAAATAGATCTGTAATTTTTGAGCGAATGTCAAATCTTTGAAGCCGATAGCCGAAGCATACAAAATTTACAGGGAGAAAAAATATATACTCTGGAATGCTGTTGCCTAAATTAATGAGAATCATCAAAATTCTTTCGTATCTGAAAATGGAAGATCTTAAATATTGCAGGCATATAATTAAAATAATAGATAAGAATTTAAGACAGCAGTTTAACTAATTTTTGCTTTTCGAATCAACAGCAAATGATGCCATTTTGGCATCAATGATTCATCCCTTCTTTAGAATAAAATAGGTACCGAAAGACAAAAACGAATATGTAAAAACATTATTCTTAATAGAAATAAGATAATTGAAACAGAATAAAAATAATAAAATAGTAACACGGAAAAATGAAAAGAAATAAATAATATTTTATGTTCCAAGATGATTCATTAGATTTATCATCCATAGTAAGACAATAAAAGATTTGAAAGACCTTCATTATTTAAAAGATGGAGATACATTACTTTAATGTTCAATGTTAAAATCTTATCCAACATTGAAATATTTCTCAAATTCAACATGCTTCCCGAGTTTAGCGCTTGCAGAACTTTTCTCGTATAGTGATTTAAACTTATGAAACTTTATGGAAGGAAAATGGAAGATTCCTTTTTTCAAAAAATGCATCATGTTCTATTTCTAAAGAGCATAATATACGACAAATATTTTTATAATTCCAAGTTTATGTAAAAATTAAGAATGAAAAATAATAATAAAAAATATATAAATAAAAAAATAAAATTTAATATAAATAAATCTATGTAAAAATAGAAAATAAATTATTTCCATTTTACGAAACCATTTCAAAAATAGCTATTTTGTATTTCCTAGTACAAGTGAGTCTAAATCTATGTTGCATTTTGTATTTTAAAATGTAAATATTTCAATTATTTTGCATTTTCTATTTCAAATGGGTTTAGACACCCATTTTGCACATCTCTGGAAAATACAATTCAATAAATATTTTTAAAATATGAAAAATAATGCTAAAAATAACTGTTAAATTTTCTATCGTTGCCGTTATTAAAAAATGTAACTTACATTACTATTACAGTTACAGAAAAAAATGCGTTATTAGTACATTTCCAAAAAAAAAGACTATAACAATAACGATATTACAAGTAACACGTTACTTCCTAACCTTGATAAGCATATAATAAATATAAATAATGAGCAGAGCAAAAAAAGAGAAATTTTATCTGGAAAAAGTTGATCCAGAATAAAAAAAAGTTCAAAACATACAAAAACTCTAAAATAGAAAAATTCGATTACATATGATACATACTTTGGATCAATACTTAGATTTAGATCAGAAATGTTTAAATTAATTTCATTAGTGAGTTGCTGCCTAAGTTTTCTGATCTCAGCTATAGCTTTGTATCTTAAGCCAGTTTTTTCACAGAAAGAGAACAGTTTTCTTTTAAATTCTGCATACTCGGCACATCCGATAACTTTTATCAGAACCATTAGATCACCTGTATATAACAAAAATCCATATTTTTGTATTTATTATATATAGTATGTGTATGTGTTTAACAGTTATAAAATAACCTCGAAATTACATACCAAGAAGTAAACTATTGCCTGTGCCACTCCAGCAACGACGCATTGATAGCCATTTATGTTTAACCGAACTTTCTATACCAAATGTCTCTTTGAGCACTTCTTGAACACTAAGAGCTGCTACCATGCATATTGTATATTTTAATAAGTTATGTTGATGTGATAGTGCTAACATTTTGCCATAGCGTGGGATAACCGGAAATGTGGCAATACTACGTCCAAGCAATGTCACTTTTGCACAGTACAACTCTAAACAAATGAATTTATTGAATCTATAAATATATTAGACAATACAGGGTGTCCCATTTTAATGCCCCACCCCAAATAACTTTCTTATTTTTAATTTTAGAAAAAGATGTTTCAGACAAAAGTTGTATGGTTTCGAGGGGGACATAAGATGGTACCATTAATTTGATCTTGAAGAGTCACATGAAGGTTACGTGAAGATCATTTTCAATTTCTTAAATGGAACACCCTATATATTTTTGCATATTCTTGTAGCTTATCTCGAGAGCTTTCCAAAACACTATAAATAAACATTTTTTCATCAAGTACGTTTCGAGTAATGAGGCTTGAAATCATTTCTTAATTTTACATAAACCATAAAATATCTTGTAAAATATTCATTTTTTGATTATCTTACCTTAATACTTTTATGTACAAAATAATGAGAGAAATCCATTGGTGCAAAGAAAACATACAGTTGTTTTTAAGAAAAAAATATGTAATTTGCAATTAACAATTCCATATTTTTTCTTAAAAACAACTGTATGTTTTCTTTACACCAATTGATTTCTCTCATTATTTTGTACATAAAAGTATTAAGGTAAGATAATCAAAAAATGAATATTTTACAAGATATTTTATGGTTTATGTAAAATTAAGAAATGATTTCAAGCCTCATTACTCGAAACGTACTTGATGAAAAAATGTTTATTTATAGTGTTTTGGAAAGCTCTCGAGATAAGCTACAAGAATATGCAAAAATATATAGGGTGTTCCATTTAAGAAATTGAAAATGATCTTCACGTAACCTTCATGTGACTCTTCAAGATCAAATTAATGGTACCATCTTATGTCCCCCTCGAAACCATACAACTTTTGTCTGAAACATCTTTTTCTAAAATTAAAAATAAGAAAGTTATTTGGGGTGGGGCATTAAAATGGGACACCCTGTATAATTAGACAATATTCCATTAAAATAATAATATGTGAACAGAATGTCTCATGAAAATTGCCAACTCTCGTAAGCGGATAAAATGCACTAAATTGAAGAAAAGTCAATTACTATTTTGCAATTTTCGCAATAATTATTGAAATATTAATTTAAAAAGATTGACAAATAAGCGTGTATTTCGCATGGCTAAACTGTGAGATGTACGTTCCAGATTGTCAACATCGGCAGTGTTGCACGGCAACGAAAAATTTGGCTGTGCGTATCCTGATTTTTGTCTTTTCGTTGCATATACACTCGCTGCTAATCTCTAGAGCTAATCTCATATATTCTATAGTCGTGCGAAATGCACGCTAGACAATCTTTTGGGTGTTCTTTCGAAAAGGACACTTCCGATTGGGATAAAAAACTTTACACTACATAACTGCAAGAGACCATAGAAGTCAATTGTCAAGATCGCACATATGAGTTTTCACTTGATTAAAAATGATAAATAAACTATTACTCAAATTAATAAAAATCTAGAACAAACAGAAAGCCTCAATGAATTTGACCTTGATATGATAACCCTTCGAGGTAAGAATCCATTCAAAGATTTTAGCCATCGTTGTTTATTCAAAAGTTATTAATAAAAAGTTTTATAAATAATACTAGGACTGTGAATTAATTTTGAGGGATTTACAATAGATCGCATAACTTATGCTACATCGCATCGGACACTTCTGTAACTATATTCATGTCAAAGCTCTGTCATTTACTTTACTTTTTGTTATGGCTTTACTTTTTATTATGTGTCATTTTGCTGAAGTGTAAACAACATATTTTTTTTCAGCTCCGTCGAATTACGAGCCAACAAAACACCATTTGCGGGAAGTTTTTCTTTTCCTGTTTAATTCAAAGAAAAGTGCTGCTGAAAGTCATCGAGTGCTGTTGGAAACTTACGGTGAATATACTCCATCAATAAAAACGTGTGAGTATTGGTTTTGACGTTTTAGAAGTGGTGATTTCGATACAGTTGACAAAAAACGCCCTGGTCAACCGAAAAAGTTCGAAGATGAGGAATTGGAAGCATTACTCGACCAAGATTCATGTCAAACGCAAGATGAACTTGCTGAATCGTTGAATGTTAATCGCACAACAGTTTCCAAACGTTTAAATGCACTCGGTATGATTCAAATGCAAGGAAATTGGGTGCCATACGAATTGAAGCCGAGAGATGTTGAACGGCGATTTTTCACGTGCGAACAATTGCTTCAACGGCAAAAAAGAAAGGGTTTTTTGCATCGTATCATCACTGGCGATGAAAAATGGATACGCTACGATAATCCTAAGCGTAGAAAATCGTAGGGTTATGCATCAACATCGACGGCAAAACCGAATATTCATGGTTCGAAGCTCATGCTTTGTATTTGGTGGGACCAGCTTGGTATTGTGTACTATGAGCTGCTTTAACCGAATGAAGCCATTGGTGAACGCTACCGAACACAATTGATGCATTTGAGCCGTGCATTGAAGGAAAAACGGTCGCAATTCGAGCAAAGACACGATAAAGTAATTTTTCAACATGACAACGCTCGACCACATGTTGCTCGTGTAGTCAAAAAATACTTAGAAACGCTGAAATGGGATGTTTTACCCCACCCGCCATATTCACCAGATATTGCTCCATCGGATTACTACTTGTTTCGATCCATGGAACACGGCCTGGCTAAGCACCGCTTCCAATCTTACGAAGATACGAAAATTGGATCGATTGGTGGATAGCATCAAAAAATGAGTTGTTCTTTCGACGCGGAATCCATATGCTGCCAGAAAGATGAGAAAAAGTAGTGGCTAGCGATGGACAATATTTTGAAAAATAATAATGTACACAATTTTTCACAATAGCCTTGAATTTACAAAAAAATCCTTCAAAATTAATTCACAGTCCTAGTATATATTTTTTGGACATCATAATTCCAAACCCATGTGGGGGAAACCATACAATAATAGAAATGTCGAAATCTAATTTGCGTAATATTTTTATTTATATCTTTTAAACCAGTGCTCGGAATATTAGTTGCCCTTTTCGGGCCGAGATCTGAGGCGATGCCTACGATTCCCCCACTACCGCCCGCGGCTAGACGGCCGATCCGCCGATTGCGCGCAACACTATGGCTGCGTTCGCTTTGTACGCTTACGCGCTGTGAGCATCATTCTGTCTTTATTGCACATCGAATATCAAACGAAGATAGAGCGATGTTTTCAGCGCTAAAACCGTCAAAACGAACGCAGCCTATGTCTCAGCAGCGTCCGCCAAGCATCCTGTTTCGCCAAATCGTCACTAAAATTTTCGTTATAAAATAATTTTCTTTTTATAATTCTTTAAATACTAAAATTTGTATTATTATAATATATTATACAGGGTGTTTCAAATCATTCGTATCACCCATTTAAAAACTAGAGAAGTGGTTATTTAAAAAAAGTAAAAACATTTTCTTTATAAATCGGGTGCGCTCCATCGAAATATAATTATTTCGGAGAAAAATATGTAATTTGCAATTAATAATTACATATTTTTTTTTTTAAATAACTATGTTTTTTCTTTACACCAATCGATTCTTCTCATTATTTTGTACATAAAAGTATTAAGATAATCGAAAAATGAATATTTTACAAGATATTTTATGGTTTATGTAAAATTAAGAAAATGTAAAATTATGTAAATTATATAAAATTATATAAAATTAAGAAATGATTTCAAGCCTCATAACTCGAAAAGTACTTCATGGAAAAATAATTTATTATAGTGTTTTAAAAAGCTCTCGAGGTAAGCTACAAGAATATGCAATAAAAAATAGGGGCTTCCATTTAAAAAAATGCACTTCCGATCTGAATCGCCTATTTCCGGCTGGAACCAGAAATTGAAAATATCACCATTCGATGGAGCGTACCCGATTTATAAAGAAAATGTTTTTACCTTTTTAAAATAACCACTTCTCTAGTTTTTGAATGGAGAAAAATCAAAATAAAGAAAATGAATTAATGAAGATAAGATATGTAGCTTGGTGCAGGAATATTTTATATCGTAAAAGATCCTAGGTCCTAGAAAATCGCATTAAATTTTTTGGTTTCCTCTTCCATTTTTATATATTTCATATCTTACGATATAAAATAATCCTGCACGAAGCCACATATCTTTGAAATGATTCTTATCTTCATTATTTTTCTTTATTTTGATTTTTATTGGAATAAGCCTACTGGGGAAACCACTTAAAAAAAACGCATCTTTAATAGTTCCTCATGAGTGATGTGGAAAATTATTATCTCTCAAAATTAATATATAATAATTATTATACAGGGTTTACCAAAAGTGTGGAAATCCCTTAATATTTCGAAAAATACGCATTTTTTTAAAAATGTTTCAGGCAAAAGTTGTATGGCTTGAAGGGGGACATAAGATGATGTCATTAGTTTGACATTGAAGAGTCACCTGAAGGTCACATGAAGGTCACATCCAACTTTAGGCGCGTTTTCGTTTTGCTACCACGAACAATCAGAGGCAAACAAGACCGTTTTCGTTTCTGGTTGTGACATTATCGATGCAATCACGTGAGCCGTGGTAGCTGCTACCGCGCTGCCATGGTTTCGAAGATGATAGTGCGGTTGTGGTAGGTTGTTTGGCACGAAGTGCGAAAAGAGAATAACTGTAACGGGTCACCCACTCTTCATTAGCAATTATTCCTATTTTGAAATGAGTTATTCTATCCTTCAAAAAAGAAAGGACAACCCTGCTTGTGGGTTGTAATTGACAAATATTCACAATGTGTTATCAATCACTTCCATTATACAAAATAACACAGATAACCTCACATTTGGATCCATCATAATCATGACACATGAAGCAAACCGCTAACGCGTTTGCGCATTGCCTGCTCGAAACGTTTTTATTCTCGATTACTATTTGTGACATCATATCATCAAACACGAGTCAACCGCTTGTAGCGAGATAGCAGCAACGAAAACGCGCCTTTTTTAAACGGGATACCCTTATGCTTTTGCATATTCTTATAGGTCATCTCGAGAGCTTTCCAAAATACTATAATTAAGTTAGTTTTCATTAAGTACTTTCCGAGTTATGAGACTTGAAATCATTTCTTAATTTTACATAAACCGTAAAATATCTAGTAAAATATTCATTTTTCGATTATCCCACCTTAATACTTTTATGTACAAAATAATGAGAGAAATCAATTGGTGTAAAGAAAACAATAATAGTTTCGAAGATATAATTAAATATAATTAATAAAATATGTAATTTGCAATTAACAATTATATATTTTTTCTTAAAAATAACTATGTTTTGTCTTTACACCAATTGATTCTTCATATTATTTTATGCATAAAAGTATAAAGTAAGAAAAGATAAGATAATCAAACAATGAAAGGAGACCTTGCTCTGATCTTGACGATGCCACTCAAGGTTAAACTCATAGCGCCAGTAAATAAATCTTTTGAAATCCTACAACTTTTATCTGAAACATTTTTTTCTGAAATGCTTAGTTTTCGAGATATTTCACCATTCCAGTACTTTTTATGCACCCTGTATATTTATATTTAACTTGTAAAAATAGATATTTATTTACTTTGCGCTCCAATTATCATATCTTACCGGCTCTTGCGAATTTTTAATTATTAATTTAATTATTTATTATTTAACTTGCACTTTATTACTTATCACTACTCAAAATGTTAATGACACATGCCATTAATATCGCAAAATGTCGCTAGCGTAATCTTCTGTCGAGAGTAGGAAACGTACGTTTTTTCTTTCTGTGTGTACATGTGCGTTGATAACGGTGATGATAAAGAGGTTTCTTAATTGAAAATTTTCATATTTCGACTTTGCGTCATGATATCTCCATTTATCACGCAGCAAAAATAAAGATATTTTCTTTATACAATTCAAACTCGCTCTATCGATTAAGCCTAGTAAGAATTCGATTCATTCAGCCGTTATTGAAATCCAATAATCTGAGTTACTCTCAACTGTCCGACTCGCATATAGATACACGGAGTACCTCGCTAATACTTCGCATGAACTTGGCGCGAGACACTAAGTTTGTTTTTTATTCCTGCACTGACTGAACTAGTTCAGAAAGGGTCACTAAAGCATTTTTTATTCCAGAACTGGTGTAACTGATGTTGTTCGTTATTCCAGTATAGCTGAACTGAGTGCACGAGTTCATTGTACTGGCTGACCTAAGTCTGGAGGTAGAGTGAGCAATGCAGAGCATTGTTTTTTATTTCTGCACTGATTGAATTTTCAAATTTCAGTTCAAATTTCAAGCAATAAAATAACTGTCAAAATCTATCAAATGTAAAAATCTTAAAGATTAAATAAAAAAGATTTTATAGTATCTAAAGATATATAGTATAAAAGATTTTATAATATTTAAAGATTAATATCTCAACATCTTATATAGAGTGTCTCGTTTTAAAAATTCCACGCTCATGACTTTTTTAATTTTGATTGTAGAAAAAAATGTTTCAGACAAAAGTTGTATAACTTGAAGGGGGACATAAGATAGTGTCATTAGTTTGACATTGAAGAGTCACCTGAAGGTCACGTGAAGATCACATCCAACTTTTTAAACGGGACACCTTATATGCTTTTGCATATTCTTATAGGTCATCTCGAGAGCTTTCCAAAACGCTTTAATTAAGTCAGTTTTCATTAAGTACTTTCCGAGTTATGAGGCTTGAAATCATTTCTTAATTTTACATAAACCGTAAAATATCTAGTAAAATATTTATTTTTCGATTATCCTACCATAATACTTTTATGTACAAAATAATGAGAGGAATCAATTGGTGTAAAGAAAACACATAATTGTTTTGAAGAAAAAATATGTAATTTGCAATTAACAATTCCATATTTTTTCTTTGAAACAATTATGTGTTTTTTTTACACCAATTGATTCCTCTCATTATTTTGTACATAAAAGTATGAAGGTAAGATAATCGAAAAATGAATGGTTTACTAGATATTTTATGGTTTATGTAAAATTAAGAAATTATTTCAAGCCTTATAACTCAAAAAGTACTTTATAAAAAGGTACTTAATTATAGTGTTTTGGAAAGCTCTCGAGATAAGCTACAAGAATATGTAATGAAAAATAGGGGGTTCCATTTAAGAAATTGAAGGTAATCTTTATGTGACCTTCAAATGACTATCCAAGGTCAAATCTAAGGTCACCGTCGGATTGCCCGGGAAAAATCCTACAACTTTTATATGCAAAAGCATATAGGGTGTCCCGTTTAAAAAATTGGATGTGATCTTCACGTGACCTTCAGGTGACTCTTCAATGTCAAACTAATGACACTATCTTATGTCCCCCTTCAAGTCATACAACTTTTGTCTGAAACATTTTTTTCTACAATCAAAATTAAAAAAGTCATGAGGGTGAAACTTTTAAAATGGAACACCCTGTATGATTAAATAGAGTTAAAATATAATTAAAGTTAAAATCGCATTAAATCAATCGTTAACCAATTACAAAAGGTAATATTTGATTAATAGTAAAATAGTAAAATTTAAAAATTAATAGGTATAATAGGTTAAAAATTTATAGCAAAATTATAAAAATTAAAATTTTTTAAAATTTATAATATAAACATTTTCATAATTTATAATATAATTAATATTATATAATATACGAATAATAAATAATAATATTATTAATATTATTTTATTTATTTATATTTATTTATTTTATTTAATATATGACGCCATGTTACTCTTGCACTTCGAGCGTTTTTTATTCCCGCCTATACTCTCAATTCTCGCTTGCACTGATTCAGTGCAAGTTCAATTCTTCAGTTCAGTCTAGTGCAAGATTAAAAAAACAGACCTATTGTCGTGTCTCTTGATTTAACAATTTTATAATATCTAAATAATAACAAATAACTGTTTAATTACCTTGTTTTTTCGGAACTGATTGCAATGCTCCAAGTACTGTAAGCCGTTTTTCTGCAAACTTCAATTGTACAATATCCGGTGGCGTAGGAAATGGAAAATTAACGACTTTATCTATATTCATCGCCTTCATTTGTAATAACAAATCATCCACTGGCTTTTTACATATTTCTGATTGACTATATTCTTCAAATTGGTCATTGTACACAGCCGATGAGTATAATCTATACAAGAGAAAGTTTTATATATATATATGAAGATTTCAAAGCAAGAAATTAAATTCACAATATGAGAGAGGGGGATAGGGGGAGAGAGAGAGAAATCTAGTTTAAATAAAAAAATTTCATAAAAAGGGTTAATATTTGAAGGGTATTTAACTTTTTTCATTTGATGAACGAGACATCAATTATAATCTTGTATATCTAATACTTAATATTAATTTAATTAATTGTAATAAAATAAATTTGCAATACACAATTATATGAATATTTAATTCGGATATTAATGGTATATTAATGGATATGGTTGTGCATCGATTATTCAATAGTGATTTTAACCCTTTTAGGAGCACATTTTTTATGTGAGATCAACAACAAAGATCATGATGGTTTTATAGGTTTTTGGGGTCACTGATTACGAATCTGGCATCATAACTTCAAAATTCAAGTTGGCGGATTCAAGATGGCGGATTATATCTTAGAAATATTGTCTCTCTCAATTGAAAGCCCGAAAAAGAGTATTCCCAAAAATCAAGACTCGATACAAAAAAGTGACCCTATAAAATTCTCAATACGTAATTCCAGACAAAAATAAAAAATACATAAAGCGTGTTAGCATGGAAAGCCAGAAGAAATTCTATAATTCATGGATTTTTTCTCAAAAACTACACATCTAATCGAAAAAACATCAAGAACTACTTTCTTCTTCAAATTATATACAAAATATGATAAGATTTTTTAAAATAGAAAATTATCAGATTTTAGATGTTATCCGCCATATTAGAGCCGCCATCTTGGATTTCCAAAATCTGAGGCCGACATTGTGATCAGAGACCCCGAAAACCTATATATGTGCAATTTGGGGTTGATTCAACAAGACCTGTATTCAAAACTGATTTTTTTCCGAAAAAATAGTGCTTTTTTCATATTGATTATTTATTAATTAATTATTGTCAACTCTCCAGTGAAAAGTGATGGAAGATTACAATATATAGGTAATCAGAAGTCTAAGGAACTTGATTGCATGCATATAACTGTCGTAATACATTCATAATGAGAAAGATACTAAAGATAAATAGGTGTATCATATATGATACATCGTCCCTCAAAGGGTTAAGACAAATGTGCATTTCTTTTCATTGGTGTAGATTATCAAATAGCGTTACGAATATCTATTATAAATAAGAATTGATAATAAATATATAATTTGGTTAAAATTTGTAAAAAGTCTATTTTAATATATTAAGACATCTTTATACATGACGTTTCAATAAAAGTGAGCTCTCGTGAACATGTAGAGCAAATCAAAATAATCCTACATATTCTTATAACATTTTTTTTTGCAATGCACCTTTACTGAGACTTATATCTTTAAAGTTAAAATTTGGAAAATATTTTTCTTAAATACTTTTATATTATTCTGTAGATTTTTACAATTTGTAATAATTTTTTTATATTAAGTAAAGATCTATAAAAACATATAGCATAATAAATTTCTTCATATATTGAAGAATCAAAGATAGATCACCTATAAGCCTTCTATCTTGTAAAATTTTGAAGCTGGTACTTTTATTTTATCTTGAAATATACTTCCACACACACAGATTCTCTATATTTTTTTCTAAAAAAAGAATACTATTGTTTCATTTCGTCAAAACTATTTTCAAGATGAACACATTTAATTGATAATGATAATAATAAAATGATGTAAGAGATGCAAAAAAATTTTTATGGGAACTTATGAGATTATTTTTATCTATTCTACACTTACAAGAGAGATATACTCTATGAGAGATCCATCTTTATGAAAACATCTTCTATATGTATAAAGCATTCATTTGCAAAATAATAATCACATGAAAACTAAATCTTATACATATTGTGAGAAGATTTTCCATATAACAACAGAAGAAATTTCCTATAATTCTTTTTATTTTATAAAGCTATTACAATTCTGTAACTTTTAACGACATATAATAATAGCAATATCATCGTTAAAATTACAGAATCGCATATTAGTCCTTTATTGATATTATGCTAAATGGTAATGTAAAAAGCAAGAAATCACTATATCTTTTTTCTTGTAAATTACACTGAAATAATAAGTTTTTTTGGATGGAATCGCGCATGTTTGATAATATGAATTAGAAAAATATATCAAAAATTTTCTTTTTTAAATTATTTTTTTATCTTAAATTTAAATGAATAAATAATTGTAAATTTTGATCATAAGATTATTTTCAGTGAAATTAATTATTATATCCTTCAAATTGAAATTAAAATTTTTCATATTTGAGTTCGAGAACTCTTTCTAATATATATGATATTTAATGGTAACGAGATACCTGTAGCAATGACCAGGTCGAGTTCTTCCAGCTCTGCCAGCACGCTGTTTGGCTGATGCTTTGCTCGTATAGCAAATATGATATGTGCTCACACCAGTCACTTTATCATATAGTCTTGTTTTACAACGCCCACTATCTATAACATATCTGATATTGGGAATTGTCAACGATGTTTCTGCAATATTAGTGGATACTACGCATAAACGACATCCTTCTGGTGGCAATTCAAACACCTAAACTCATTAAAAAATCAATTTATTATTAATTTAATTCTAATTGCTACAATTTAAAGAACATTTTATTGTAATTATTTCATATGCGTGATAAATATAACATATATATATATATATATATATATATATATATATATATATTTACCTTAGCTTGTTTATGACTTGGTAAAAGAGAATAAAGAGGTAGAACCCACAATGGTTGTGTATTTGTCATCAACTTAAAATCAATAATTTCATCCTCATCTTCATCTTCGTCTAAATTATCTCCATCTTGTACATTGATTAAATCTTCATGTGTGTCATCAATAAGAGTTGTCGAATAACTAAATATAAATGTTTATAAGATAAATTTTAGAATAATATGAAAGATTAGAATAATTATAATATAAATATACATACTCATCAAGATTAATAGTCGGAAATATAATTTGTTTCTTTCTCCTCTGTTGATTATGATGTGCTTCTTTAGCATCAAAATCATTATCGGAATCATCATTATTACTATGTTCATTATTCGTTTCTTCTTTCAATGATATTTCGTTTTTTTCAGAATCTACTAATTTAGTTTTAAGATATTTATTTTTCTTTAATGGAAATAATTTACGTAATTTACGTACGATCATCTGTACCTCTTGCTGACCTGCAATTAATAAGTTGAAAAAATATATTAGTATAAAAAATGTATAATAATAGATATACATGTATATAACATGTGTGTGGGGGAGGGGGGGGGGTGTGTGTGTGTGTAATAAAAATATATAAAGAGAATGTCTCATTACTATTATTATTATAAAAATATTATTATTTATCATAAAAATATTATTAAATTTATTTAAACTATATATACTTATTATAAAAATATTACATTACATTAAATTTTTTTATTTATACATATTAACTTATTAAATTATTATTATATTTATAATGTATAATAGTAGTGTCCATTTCTTTCTTATAACACAAAATTACACACATATAAAATCTTTATATTTTTATTACTTTGTTTTTTGTTTTGTATTTTTATTATTTTATTAGCCATCAAGAGACACGGTAGTGTCTCGCGCCAAGTTCATGCGAAGCATTGCGCGGCACTCCGTGTATCTATACGCGAGTCGGACAGTTGAGAGTATACTTAGATTATCGGATTTCAATAACGGCTGAACGGATCGAATTCTTACTAGCCTTAATCGATAGAGCGAGTTTGAATTGTATAAAGAAAGTATCTTTATTTTTGCGCTGCGTGATCTATTAACGGAGATATCATAATGCAAAGTCGAAATATAAAAATTTTCAATTAAGAAACGTCTTTATCATCATCATCATCATGGTCGTCATCAACGCACATGTACACAACACATAGAAAGAGAAAACGTCCTTTTCCTACTCTCGACAGAAGATTGCGCTAGCGACGCTTTTCGATATTAATGACATGTGTCATATGTGTCATTAGTGACATGTATCATTAACCGCATTTTGAGTAGTGATAAAGTGCAAGTTATAAATAATAAATAATTAAATTATTAATTAAAAATTGGCAAGAGCCAGTACGGTATGGTAATTGGAGCAAGGTAAATAAATGTATATATCTATTTTACAAGCTAAATATAAATATATATAATATATTAATTATATATATATATATATATATATATGTAATGTATATTATATCTACTTATTCTATATATATTTTTATATAATTTTTAAAAAAAGGTAAAAAAAGGGCGCCAAGTTCATGCACTAATTGTATCCAACTGTCATATTGTCTACAAAAATAGTGATATAAAAAAATTGCGCCAACTAAGAATAAAAATTTGTACAAGATAAATAGTAAAAAAAATTTTAATTAAAAAAACTTGGCACTGCCAATAAAATTGGCATATATTCCAATTAAATATGTTTAACAGCAAATATAATTGCTGGACATTTATTATTAATTCTCTTAAGATCTTCTGGATTTGTAAATTTAGACTTTTAAGCTGAACAATATATTAATAAAATTGGCAGCGCCAAGTTTTTTTAATTAAAATTTTTTTTACTATTTATCTTGTACAAATTTTTATTCTTAGTTGGCGCAATTTTTGTATATCACTATTTTTGTAGACAATATGACAGTTGGATACAAGTGCATGAACTTGGCGCTCTTTTTTTACCTTTTTTTAAAAAGGTAAGTTTTTGAGGATTTATATATATATACATAGAATGTGTATATGTGTGTATATGCGTACGTGCGTATGTGCAATCGTGAAACAATAGGGTCTATTCTTTTTTGTTAAATTGGCTGCAGTTCAGAATTTATCTCGTTCTTTTTAACGTGAAGTAAAAAAAATAAACTCTGAACTAATGCAACAGTTCAATTAAAAAGAATAGACCTAATATTTTTATTTTATACTTGTGAGAAATATAAAAGTGAAGAGTAATATAACTGAGTAGTAGTTAGAGTTGAGATACAGAATTATTTTTCTATAATGTGTGAAAAGATAAATAAGAATTTCATATACTTACCTGTTAAAAAAATTAATATACCACCTTCTGGTAGACGAGTATGTATTTTGATTGCTTTACGTAATGTTTCATTGATATAATTTTCGTTTGTTCTTCTGTTGAAATGTATTGTTACAGGAAATTGTCGTGTTTCAACTGTAATTACTGGCGGTTTTGTTTTAAACAACTTCATATTCTCTACAAATTCCTCCACACGCAATGTAGCAGACATAATTATCAATTTCAATGAATCATTGCGTTTATTGCGAAGCGGAACAATCCTTGATAATAGACCAATCAGAATATCGGTATATACGCTGCGTTCGTGTGCTTCATCGAGTATAATGACAGAATATTTTTTTAATAAAAAATCCTATAACAAAGAGATTATGTAAATTATTTACATTATTTATATACATAAAATGCTAAATTTATTTATTTTCAAAAACATAATTTATTATATAATTCACGGCAAAATGCAGAATAAAATTCTATTTATAATTTTATATATTGTCTCTTAATGTATATGTGTATTCTTATACAGGGTGTCCCATTTTAATGCCCCACCCCAAATAACTTTCTTATTTTTAATTTTAGAAAAAGATGTTTCAGACAAAAGTTGTATGGTTTCGAGGGGGACATAAGATGGTATCATTAATTTGATCTTGAAGAGTCACATGAAGGTTACGTGAAGATCATTTTCAATTTCTTAAATGGAACACCCTATATATTTTTGCATATTCTTGTAGCTTTCTCGAGAGCTTTCCAAAACACTATAAATAAACATTTTTTCATCAAGTACGTTTCGAGTAATGAGGCTTGAAATCATTTCTTAATTTTACATAAACCATAAAATATCTTGTAAAATATTCATTTTTTGATTATCTTACCTTAATACTTTTATGTACAAAATAATGAGAGAAATCCATTGGTGCAAAGAAAACATACAGTTGTTTTTAAGAAAAAAATATGTAATTTGCAATTAACAATTCCATATTTTTTCTTAAAAACAACTGTATGTTTTCTTTACACCAATTGATTCCTCTCATTATTTTGTACATAAAAATATTAAGGTAAGATAATCGAAAAATGAATATTTTACAAGATATTTTATGGTTTATGTAAAATTAGGAAATTACTTCAAGCCTCATAACTCGAAAAGTACTCAATAAAAAAATATTTTATTATAGTGTTTTGGAAAGCTCTCGAGATAAGCTACAAGAATATGTAATGAGAAAATGTAGGTTCCATTTAAGAAATTGAAGGTGACCTTCATGTGACCTTCAAATAACTCTTCAAGGTCAAACCAATGGTACCATCTTATGTCTCCCTAGAAACCATACAACTTTTGTCTGAAGCATTTTTTTGATTTTTCATTATTTTCCGAAATATTTGGCTGGGGAAATTAAAATGGGCCACCCTGTATATATAGGATAGGCCATTTTAATTCTACGCACTGAAATATCTCAAAATCCATAAGTTTAAGTCAAAAATGTTTTAGACAAAAGTTGTATGGCTTGAAGAGGGACATAAGATTGCCATTAGTTTGACCTTGAAGGTCACGTGAAAGCCTCCAACTTTTTAAATGGGACCCCCTATATACTTTTGCATATTCTTGTAGCTGGCTCAAGAGCTTTCCAAAACACTATAATAAAGTATTTTTCCCTTGAGTACTTTTCGACTTTGTGAGGCTTAAAATAATATCTTAATTTTACATAAATCATAAAATATCTAGTAAAATATTCATTTTTCGATTATCTTACTTTAATACTTTTATGTACAAAATAATGAAAGGAATCAATTGGTGTAAAGAAAATACATAATTATTTTTAAGAAAAAATATGTAATTGTTAATTGCAAATGTGTTTTCTTTACACCAATTGATTCCTCTTATTATTTTGTACATAAAAGTATTAAGGTAAAATAATCGAAAAATGAATATTTTACAAGATATTTTACAGTTTATGTAACATTAAGAAATGATTTCAAGCCTCATAACTCGGATAGTACTTAATGAAAACTGACTTAATTATAGCGTTTTGGAAAGCTCTCGAGATGACCTATAAGAATATGCAAAAGCATATAGGGTGTCCCGTTTAAAAAGTTGGATGTGATCTTCACGTGACGTTCAGGTGACTCTTCAATGTCAAACTAATGACACTATCTTATGGCCCCCTTCAAGTCATACAACTTTTGTCTGAAACATTTTTGTCTTAAACTTATGGATTTTGAGATATTTCAGTGCGTAGATTAAAAGGGCCTGTGTGTATATGTACATATATATATATATATATATATATATATATATATATATATATATATTGTATTTGTATGTATTTTACATATTCAATTGTTTTCTGCATTACATGACATAAAATTATGGCTGTGGTCGGAAAGACACTCTGAATGCTTTGTTCTATATTCCATGAGAATAAAGATAGAATGATGTTTCAAAGCAGTGCAGTCTTGACCGCAGCCTATAAATAAAATTTTGTCTCAAATTTTGCCACAAATCATTTAAAGTTTATTTCACATATTACAATGTTGTTACTTACATTTTGAATTTCTTTCAGCAAAACACCATCAGTCATATATTTGATCTTTGTTTCTTCAGTAACATTTCCCTCAAAGCGGATTAGATATGAAACCTGTTTTTCGGTAAGATTCATTTCTTCAGCTACTCGTTTGCTCATTGACATTGCTGCTACTCTTCTTGGTTCAGTTATTCCAATTAATTTATTTTCAGCATATCCAGCTTCATATAAAAATTGAGGCACTTGTGTTGTTTTGCCTAAAAAAATATATATACATATATATACATATGTACATACATATATACATATGTATGTATACATACATATATATATATATACACACAAATGTAAGTAATTTAAAAAATATACTTATAGCCTAAGTTATTATCTAATATTAGCAATATTATTATTTAGGAAATTAGTAATAACTTTCTTATTATAATTATTCGTCAAATTTAATTTTACTCACCACTTCCTGTTTCTCCAGTAATTATGGTTATTGGATTTTCATTTATTGTTTCAACTATTATTTGTTCTTCTGTAACAATAGGTAGTTTTAATCTAGTTGCTTGTATCTCTGGCTTTCTATTTACAGGTACAAAAACAGTAGATGAAGAAATTTTAGAAATAGCTGTTTGCTTTCCTACTGATTTTTTAGATTCCTGAGATTTAGCTGGAAGTATTTTCTTTTGCGTATTTTTTAGAAGATTCTCATTATTTTTTTCATTTTCCATAGAAATAGCAATATTGTCAGAAACATGTGTTTTATTTTCATTTTTATTGTTACAATCATTTTCATTGCTGCTATCACTGGACTAAATAAATATTATGTATTACATTTATAATTATATTAAATATTTAACATATTTACAATTATATTATTTTTTTATTTCTATCACAATTTGACAAATTTTATCACTTGATTACTTGAAACTTACTTCAAATCCAATCATATTTGAATCAAAAGTAGTTTTGTTTTGTTTTGCATGGTCCAAACTAATGGTAACTAATCTTTTCTTCTTGCTACCTTTGATAGAATTTGCACAAAAAGTTGCCTCTGTTATATCACTTTTCTCTATTTCATTTTTCTTACATTTTAATTTTGAAATAGGCATTTCTAATTCTCGAAAATGACGCTTTAAACCTTTATTTTGCAAAGATGTTAAACTTGTATATTGTTGCAACTCATCTGAAGATGCTTGTAATTTCGCCAAATCTTCTAACAATGTTGTTCTCTGTGTTGTATATAAAATTAAAAAAATATCTTTTATAATAAATATGTTTAATTTCTTTATTTTTACACATAAAAGAGTACACATAAAATACCTGTAATTTCTTCTTTTTTCTCTCTATTATGTTTTCTAATTGTTTCCTACGTTTTTTTGATAACAACTGAGTTTTTACTTCCTTATTTATGTTCTTTGTTTTTATTTTTTTTGAAGGTAAGACAAATGTATTACAATTGTCATAATCATCAGCACGATGCTCAATATCTACCACAATCTGTAATATGTTATATTAATATATTTAAGATAACATTAAATAATCTGTATGATAATCAATTAACTATGTGGAATTTCATAAATTTCAAAAAAATGTTGTATACATATATATTTTATTAAATAAAATAAAAATATAAAATAAATATTCAATTTTTCATCCTATTTTTAAAACTCTTTTTGATAAAAACTTTATTCTTTTTTTGAAAATATATTTATTTGTAAAAAATTTGTGTAAAAAAATATATATGTATGTATGTATAAAATATACAGAGTGTATGTATCTGAAATGATGCACTAAATTTTAGGAGCATATTCTAGAAATCAAAATAGGACTTTTTTTTCTTATGAACATGGGTTCGCCTGTATATGTTATATATGTGCATACATATAAGTTATAGTCAAACTATATAATTTAAATATATATTAACATGTGTTATATATGTGTGTGTATATATATATATATATATATATATATATATATATATTTGTATATTTGTATATAAAAATATGCTATTTATATAACATGATTGTTTTTGGAAAATAGGAAATGATAACATGGATCGAAAGTAGAAAATGATGAGTGATAATGAAAATTGCTTTATGCAAAAAATATTATAAATTTAGATCTTTTATAAAATCTCATCTCATACATGAAAAGTAAAGTTGTAAACTTGCTAGGATTATATAAATAATATTTAAACAATTATATTAATTACATGCTACTTTGTACAAATTTATAATTTTTCATAAAGACCTATGCACTATTTTTTGCCTTCCATACAAACATGCCTTTGTAAATTATTTGAATGCTATTTCCATCAAAGTGCACGTTTATATTCCATTATTTAGACATTTCATCAAAGTGTTATTTAGAACTGTTGATTATTCTTTTTGTACGAGCGAGGATGATTTTAACTTTTTTAAACCTTTTTTTTGCAAAAAAGACCATTTTAATAAATGTATTTTCATCAAATTTGAGCAAAGTGGATTAAACATTTTTCAGCATCATTTTAATAGCTGATAATTTTGTTCATAATGTCAATTAACGAACTTAATTATTGTGTTTTTATATAATTAATATCTTATTTATCTATATACATTATCCGAACAGGTAAATTATTAAAATTTCTCGAAATCAACGAGAAAATATTCTATATATTTATCAAAAAATAATTATAATTAAAAATAAATTTACCTCCTTCATAGCGAATTATTGATTTTTATATTTACGGCAGTCCTCGATTTTCAATTATAAACTTTTTTTTTTATTATTTTACAATTTACAAATCCAAAGTAGATGTACAAAATACACACTGCTTAATACACGTGCTTTCCAGTAATGGGTCTATTCGTTTTAGCTGCATTGCTGCACTAGTGCAATTAGTTAGAGTGAAAGAAAGTATGTATGTCTTTTTCTAAAGGCAGAAGCATAAGGAAATTGATTGGTCCCCAAGTGTATGCATAAGAAAATGAACCAATCAATTTTTTTATGCTTATGGTTATGCGCTTATGCAAAAGTGTGTGCTGCGGCCTTAACTTATTGCACTAGTACAGCAGCTAAAACCAGAGAGAAGACTGAGAGGGGTCACGCTGCCCTTTTTTAGGGAATGCTTTTTGCCCGCCATAAAGTGGCGCTAACTGGATCCATTTTACGGCCAGCGGTACTACGTGGCCGGATCCATTTTTCGCTGCCACGGTAAAACGACCGATTGGTTCATGTCCGTGCTAGATCCATAATTGTGGATCTTAAAAGTACGAAACATATCATACATTTATTAATTTTTATTACATATTATTAACAGCGCGTGATCTTTTTTTACTTTAGCACATATTATATAGTAATATATATGTATATGCGTGTATAATATATATAAAATTAAAATGCTTATTTTATTTCACATAAAATTTAATGTTTTAATAATTTCAATAAAAGTATTTTAATAAAATATATATGTGTATATTACTCCAATAATAAATATTACCAAAATGAAAAAAAGATCATACGCAATAATGTTTCGTACTTTATTTTGAGATTCACAATAATTAATGAATCTAGCACGAACATACAGTCGTTTTATACACTTATATGTATATGTATATGTATATGTATGTATGTATGTATGTATGTAATATATATATATATATATATATATATATATATATATATATACATATAGTGTACGCGGAAGTATGTGAACAAGCGAGAAGGTAATAAAAGGGAGCGAAATGGCAATAAGAGTGAGCGAGATAGGAATAGAACAAGCAACGAAGACTCGAAAACCGAGTCTTTCTTGCAGTTTGGCATACTATTTCTCTCTCGCTCGCTTCTGTTATTGTTTCACTCGCTCTTACGTACTCATATACTGTCATATTCATCTCGTTATCAAGCCTGCCGCTGGCAAGCAACCGGTGACAAATTGTGAGAAATAAATTAATCATTTTAAGATATATTTATAAGGGTATGCGAATAATTTTCATGGAACAATGAAAATTTTGCAACAATGACGACAAATTTTAAAACAACATCAAACGCGGTATCAATCGGATAAATGTAGTTAAATATATATAATCAAAATTTTTATTATCAGACCAATTAAAAATTATTCGATTTATGTCGTGTTTGATATCATTTTAATCGCAAGAATCTCAATAATTCATTTAAAATTACTTTCATATCGATAAAATAAAAAATAGGAGTTTCAGTTTTTAGTTTATAATATCGTAAATTGCGAATGGATAGAGGAAATGAAGAAGCCGATTGTAAGAGACTTCGGAATTCTTTGATGATAGGTCATTTCGCTCGCTCTCGATTTCGCTGTCACTCTCGCACTTGACAGGTTGTAAAGATAAGCGGACTCGGCTTCCTCGCGAATGTAAACATCTTATAAAGTAAAAACTGAAACGCCTATTTTTTATTTTATCGATATGAAAGTAATTTTAATGAATTATTGAGATTCTTGCGATTAAAATGATATCAAACACGACATAAATCGAATAATTTTTAATTGATCTGATAATAAAAATTTTGATTATATATATTTAACTACATTTATCCGATTGATACCGCGCTTGATGTTGTTTTAAAATTTGTCGTCATTGTCGCAAAATTTTCATTGTTCCATGAAAATTATTCGCATACCCTTATAAATATATCTTAAAATGATTAATTTATTTATTTCTCACAATTTGTCACCGGTTGCTTGCCAGCGGCAGGCTTGATAACGAGATGAACAGTATATGACAGTATATGAATACGTAAGAGCGAGTGAAACAATAACAGAAGGGAGCGAGAGAGAAATAGTATGCCAGACTGCAAGAAAGACTCGGTTTTCGAGTCTTCGTTGCTTGTTCTATTCCTATTTCGCTCACTCTTATTGCCATTTCGCTCCCTCTTATTACCTTCTCGCTTGTTCACATACTTCCGCGTACACTCCGCGACAACGATTCGTTCCGCCTCTAACCAATCAGCCACTGCCATGCTGCCAGCTGATTGGTCACTTCTACGCTCCCCTTGCCCCGCGAGAGAGGGGCCGCGGAACAAATCGTCGCGCAGTGTACACTATATGTATATATATATATATATATATATATATATATATATATATATGTATATATACATCTTATAATCTGCACTCAACAATGTAAATTGCAATAATTCTCCAAATTGAGTAGTATCCATTTGAAAATAATTTCGAAAACTCAAGTCTTCCAACATTAATATAGGTAAAGTAATAAAATAATAAAATCCATTACGGCGACGTTGTTGAAACAATTCAATCACCCAAATCCTTTTTTTTTATAATGCCGCTTTTCTTTCAAAATTTTATTAGCCCAAATTACAATTGCACTAGCTGCTGCTGCAATTGCAACTTTTTGTCAAAGTGTTTCGTAAAGTTTCAATATTATGTTTTTAAATGGTTTTCTCACATTTTCTGTGCCATTGATACAATTTTTGATTATATGACATTTTTGATTATTAAACTCAAAATTTAAATTAAACTGTTAAAAGCTCAACTCTGCAATATTATTTTTAAGTTATAATTTGTTTATGTACTACTGCTGTCTTCCTTAAATGCCCTGTTGACATGTGATCTTGCCGGCCAGTGCTGCTGCAGCTATTCCTTTTCATGAGCAGCAAATATGCTTTAGTGAATTTTGATCACGTGACTGATTTGCTGCTGCTGCATGCTGCGTATAAAAAGACACCTTTACACTGTAACAATGGCTGTGTTCAGCAAAAAAAGCGCTTTGCAACTGTTGTAAAATTCGTAAATCTGATTGGTATAGGCTCTTAATTTTGGCTAAATCTAAGGGCATACACCAATCAGATTCACGAATTTTACAACAGTTGCAAAGCAGCTTATCTTGCTGAACGCAGCCATCAGCCGCATTCAGCAAACTCAACAGTTGGGTAACATTACTAAATTTTCCGATGTAATTCGACGCTGATTGGTCGGACCTGAAAGTAGAAACCAATCATATTCGATTGCTACTTACCGTTAAGTCCGCTTAATGCGACCATTGGTTGTAACATTTTACACTGGTTGAAAAATGCCCAAAGAAAGTAAAGCCCTTTGCATAATGCTAGGCAACAGGCAATAGAAATAGGGAATAAAAACTATTTACTAATAAATATGAGGAACAGAAAATATTCGCCATTAGGAGTAAAGAATAGATACTATTTCTGTTCTTATTGCCTGTTGTCTAGCATTGTGCAAGGGGCTTTACTTTCTTTGGGCATTTTTCAACCAGTGTAAAATGTTACAACCAATGGTCGCATTAAGCGGACTAAGAAGATATATTTCCCTTTTTACCCATTCTAGAATCGTTGCAATCGAATCGAACATTCGTCGTGCGATCGCGTACTAATTATGCACATTTGTATATCGCTGTTTTTAGATCATGAAAGAGAAAATGATATATTTGCACTCTAATGTTGGCTTCACTTTTCAAGCAGTATCAGCAATGGGTGCTTTCCAATTGTTTAACACATCTTAACACAAACATACACAGGAAGGCACAAAGTGTAGCGATGTGCACGACTCAATTGGAACAAAGTTAATGTGCGACTTTCGAGTGGAGGGTTAGGATTCTTCATAACCATGTCCATCTTGATATTTTTTAATCCATGCTGAGGGTGATAGCATCGATATATAAAATGGATTGACCATTGCGTGTAGACAGGCGTCAGCCCGCGGTGAAGAGAGAGATACTACATGCGAGGCCTATGTCTGTCTCTTTTGCTAGTATCTCATTGGTAATTTTGCATAATATTATATAATATATAAATAATATATAAATAAAATATATAAATGCATATTATATTAATATATAAATATGAATGAAAATTTAATCAGTAATATATCTAACCTGCAAATAATATGCAAAAGAGACAATTTTATTTTATTTATTAAATATAATAAAAAAATTAATTGTACAAAAACTCATTAATTTGAATTACTTACTTCAATGATACTTTTAATATTTTTATTGTCCATTTTTGTATTTGTATGGTGTACTTTAATGGTTGTCTTTTAATTAAAAAGGATAAAACGAAAAGAAAATTGCCAACATAATCGCCGTCAGTCTGTAACCGCATATTTCATTTGTCCCTAGAAAACAGAAGGTTACACAAGTTGACTAGTAGCCCTCGAGCTGAGTACGGATGTGTAAAGTTGTGTCGGCAGTTACGGCAATTGGAACGCGACTTGTGTCGCCGTGTGCATAAAAGTGTCTAGGGATATCTCAATTGGAAAGCACCCAATATATGCTCTCTGGGTGTTTACGACAACTAATCGGATCTCTGAACGGACTGACCAGTGGTACTCAGCGATAGACTTCCTAAATTTTCCTAGACTAATCCGGATCAATGTTGTGTCTCTGGAGGAATCGAATTAGATTAACAGTCATCGAAAGAAATTGCGTTCAAGCCGATCGAAAAAATTGTGAAAAACATCATAAGAAAATATGGAAGGTACTTTATTATTCTTTTAATTAATATATATTTATTTATCAAATATGTATTAATAAACAAATGTATTTTACTGGAATAAGATGTTTTCTATAAAATAAGAATAACTCTAAACCTCACTTTATTTTAATTATTAATATAATAAACAATATTAATTTGCAAAATAATACTAAAAATAACAAAATGTATGTATGTAGCAATAACTAAATTTTACCATGAATTTCTTATTTATCTTGTAATTAATTTTTGAAAGTTTATCAATTAAATATGTAATATGTGAAGTTTTTATTCGTTACAATATTACTTAGACTTTTCTTATTTAGAAAACATACATAGAAAATAATAATAAAGTATCTTCTATATTTTCTTATAATGTTTTTCACAATTTTTTCCATCAGCTTGATCGCAATTTCTTTCTGACTGTTAATCTAATTCGATTACTCCAGAGACGCATCATTGATCTGGATTAGTCTAGGGAAATTTAGGAAGTCTATCGCTGAGTACCATTGCATCACGGATCCGATTAGTTGTCGTAAACACTCTCTTGTAGTGTTCTGATCATAGACATAGGCCGGTATTCATAGTCCGATTTTATATTTAAGATTGTCTTAAGTCTGCTTCGAGGTTAATTTAAGACCTCCTTCAACCAATCAAATAGCTGCGTAGCATTTCAAGCTCGAACTTAAGACGATCTCAAATATAAGATCGGACTATGAATACCGGCCTAAATATAGACCGAGCATCCATTGTATATAAGCGTTAAGCATACGAAAAGAAAGACAAAAGATGTAAGATGAGTTTCTTTCTCTTTTTAATGCCGGAGAAGTCGGGAGCACTTCTCATCTCCTCGCCCCTCCATGACGAACCGGCGCGAGGAGATATGGAGAAGTGCTCCTCTCCGGCATTGAAAAGAGAAAGAAACTCATCTTACATCTTTTATCTTTCTTTTCATATGCTTAACGCTTAAAGGTGCGGCCTCATTGACGCTAAAAAGTAGCGTCAACCATTGGTTGAACAAAGAGGTAAGTATACTTACCTCTTTGTTCAACCAATGGTTGACGCTACTTTTTAGCGTCAATGAGGCCGCACCTTAAGACGTCTTTAGATGGAAGCGTTTAGCGTCAAGCGTTGAGCGTCAAAAACACGTGCGCAGCACCCTTGCGCATAATTCTAAACAGGCAGATTCCAGCATCTTGACGCTAATACAATGTTTAGTAATAAAAATTTAATAGATACCGTAGAGATAAGTAGATTGTATATTCTTCATAGAAAATGTATTAATATATATAATATATAATAGATATTATTATACAATATATATTATAGAATTGCGCGATTAGCAACGTAGTACAACATAACCAAACATAGAAGGAATAATTGGCATAAGTATGTCTTCTAAACATATATTATTACAACATGAATATTATTTATTACAATATATTCTTTGTATAAGATATAACGTGTGGAGTGTGCACGTTGAAAATCAATAAAAACAATATTTTTAATCACGAATGCATGAAACATTGGCATAGGCACACTGCGCTTGTCACACTTTTCGACGCTTTAACGCTCGATGCTCAGACGCTCCCATGTAAAGGCACCTTTAAGGTGCAATTTCATTGACGCTAAAAAGCGTCAATGAAATTGCACCTTTATACAATGGATGCTCGGTCTATACTTACTATGTCTATGGTTCCAATATTCACTAATTTACGTCACGTATACTATAGATTTTCAGTATTGGCAGTTTATGTCGGAACCATTGAACTATATAACATACTGGAAGCCGCGCTACCATAGAAAGTGGCCGATCCAGCCTGTTAGACAAGGAGGCGCTAAAAGATGATGCGTTCTTTGTTTCTCTAATTCTTCTCGTATTACAATCGATTCGTCTAAAGTTCTCACACCATAGTAGATAAAACAAAACTGTATGTATGTACTATCTTAAAATATATTTTGCCTCTGCATTGATTGATCAGATTAAATGTGCAATCAATTCATATTTTGTATTACAAAAATTTGAACAAATACGTATTATTTGAACAAATACGTATTACATTGCACATGCTACATTTCTTTAGACTAATGTTTTCAGCTCAGGTAATATGTAAGACAAGGACAGCATGACAACTTAGCATCTGTCTCTCTCGGCTCGGGAATAATAAACAAAACGTATCTTTGCGCGGCTTCCAGTATGTTATATAGTTCAATGGTCGGAACGCACATGGACGTAAGAAATACTGGACAGAGTGTATTGTTGCGGGGGTGAAGCTCAAAGGGTGAGGGGAAAGAAATGTCTACTGCAACGGAATATGAGGCATGTAAGATGGCGACGGATATTAATTTCACGAAGTGTGATATTTTTGAATTTCTTAATATTCAAAAATGATTCGGAATAACACAGCGATTTCAGATGATAGATGATTTCACGGAATCTCTCATATTTTATTCGATTTACGTCCGTGCGACGTGAAAATAGATCTAAATCTGATGCATCTAAGATGGCCGCAACAATAAACCCCTTACCCCTCAGATTTCACTCCCCTCGTCTAAAAGAGTACTTTATGCTCTGTCCAGTATTTCTTACATCATGGGAACGCAATCTTTATACGTATATAGTATAGCTACTTACATTGTCAATACAGGTTGTCACTTTCCACATGCATAGTAAACATAATGTACATAACGAACATAACGCTCTATATAGCCTCAACTCTAATATAGATAATAATATAGATCTGCTATTAACCTATTATATCGATTTGTTTTTGATTGAATTTATAGACTAAGAACAGATGAGAAAATACGTATGTATTACAAACTTGAATATGGAAATTTCATGTGATATTATTAACTTCAATTACTTATAATAAAAAAAACATTAACATTATCCTAGTAGAATTTCCGATTCTAATTCATTTTCAGAATATGCTATTTAAAATATTTACAATAAAACATTCTATACAAGATATAAAATCTATACATGTATGTGTGTATGTATATATATATATATATATATATATATATATATATATATATATACATACACACACACACACACATACATACACACATGTATAGATGTGTATACACACACACACACACACATGTATAGATGTGTGTATACCCACACACAAATTATAGAAAGTAATTAGATCATTAAACATTATTGCATATTTCTTACATATAATTTATACACACACACACACATTTATATATGACGTTCATTCATCATACTTTAAAACTTATTAGTGCTTTACAGCTTCAAATATGAAATAAAAACTTTTGTAAAAAAATTAATTTTAGTAATTATTCTTTTCTAGTATAACAAGTTTTGTTTTCATTAACATACAAGTTCCTTGTGTTATAATTTGAATTTATATGTAATCTATTCATTATGTAACTATAGTATCTTGACTGTATTATTCAACAAAGAACACATGCGACATTGCAGATTGCCATCTTAGGAGATGTGTTGCAACAAAGGCAATCTTTTTAGTACTAATTGTTAGCAGTCGCATTCAAGTGTACAATATCAAATTTGTACCTTGCTTTGACGGTTTAGTTTCTTAGATTTTCAAATCTTGGCAAAGTCATAGCTCTAATTAATATTTTTTCCATCCATATTTAATATTACCTAGAATGTATAACTTCTATGGTATTTTAGACCGTGCATTTTAACGATATTAACTAAATGTTACAATGAAGTATCCGATGGTGGTGTACTTTCGTGATGACTAATTTGACTGAGAGAATGTTGCAAAGCATCAGGCGTTAGCCATTCCTTTGGTAAACAACGTTGTAGAAAGGGTACACATGAACTGAAATATGCTAAACGATTTACCCAACCAGGTATTTCCTGTCCACATAGAATCTGAAATATATTGATTTTCATTATATTGTTTATACTATATATCTATGTTGTTAAGAAAAATAATATACCAGTGTAAACTGACTGCTGAAATGATTACAATTTTTATTCATCAAATGGTAACGGTCCCCTCTAAAATCTTTACCTAACTCTGTAATAATTCTTGAAACATCTTCTTCTGTGAAATCTGTATATCCAATATGAACAGATTGTCTATAACATAACCATATAATACACTACAGATTTTAATTTTAAAGAGTATCTTTATATAAAAAATAAAAATTGTACCTATATCTAAATTGTTCGCCTAATTCTTCGGCTACCCTTGGTGTGATTTCAAAAATACCACTTCTTGGTTGAGCATGACCACCATATGCATATTCTATAGCAGAAATACATTTCAAATTCCTATTTCATAATTGATAATTTTTCAAATATATACCTGTTCCATATATTTCCACTCCTGAATGAAATACACCAAGACCAATAGGTGTAGTATATTCATTTATCCAGTACTGAAATAGAACATCGAGAACATATATATATACAGGGTGTCGCGGTTATCTTCCGTCATCTTTCAAAGACAGATTCCTGGGATCATTTGAAGACGATTTTTCCTCAGCGAAAATGTCAATGAAGGCCATCATTTTTTGCATGTTCCTGATTTTTGTCATCATATATCTTTGCAATTAAGTCTTAAATTAAAATTCCACTAAAGTAAACTCTATTTAAAATTAATCAACAAATGTGGTTTTGTTAATATTTTATTTCTACAAAGCTTAGTTTACGAAAAACCCCTTATTTCCAATCACTTATAATTCGAAAATTATTAGTGCCTCGACATCTTCGTTGAGGAAAAATCTTCAGATGATTCCAGGAATCTGTCTTTGAAAGATGACAGAAGATAATTGGGACATCCTGTATGTATATATATATATAATTCAGATATATATATATATATATATATATATATATACATATATATATATATACACAGAGTGTTCTTAAAAGGTCTTGTCAAACTTTAACCATAGATGCTACGTATCAAAATAAAGCAAATATCCATATAAACATTGATCCGGAAATGCCCCCTTTCTGAGATAATACAGGGTGAAGTCACGTATCTTCATAGGCCTATTTGGCTCAATAACTGTAGTAATGATTTGCATTAGATAAGCTCTTGCTATAAGATATTGCTTTGTTTTGATCTGTGGTCCACAGATTCTGACAGTAAAGAAGTTTACTGTACGTATTACGTTAAGTACGTGCTCACTATTGCTGCTCATGATAGCCACTTTGAACATCTTATCTGCAAATCATTACTACAGTGATTGAACCAAATAGACCTAAGATACGTGACTTCAGCCTGTGTTATCTCAGAAGGGCGGCATTTCCGGATCCATGTTTATATGAACATTTTGCTTTGTTTTGATACGTAGCATCTATTGTTAAAGTTTGACGAGACCTTTCAGGAATACCCATATATATATATATATATATATATATATATATATATATATATATATATAAGGGTGGCTCTCATGACTAGAAGCGCATGCCACCATCATATTTCAAAGTCTATCCACCGCTCCCTTCTCACTCACTGCTTCGCCGTGCGCTATCAAGATACAGTGAGACCGCCTTCGCTGCTACACGCTTCTAGCCACGCATTGGTCGATCTTTTTTAATTAAAATCTCGAAATTTTACGTGGTTTTTGTAAAATAATAAAAGATTTTTTAGTTCAGTTTAACGAGATCTATTTATGGCTTTACTTTGTCCCGAGATACCGAACAGCCTGTGTATGTATGCGTGTGTGTGTGTGTATGTGTGTATATATATATATATATATATATATATATATATATATATATAAACTAAATTTATAAAAATTAATAAGTAATAACAATAAATAATTCTTAATAATATTTATTTGTTGTAATATGTTGAAAATGATAGCTTACCATATCATAAACATTAAGAATGATTGGCTCACGTGCCATTTTTGGAATCAATTCCTCACTATCTTGTGGATAACCCAAACAACTGGGAAAAGAGAGATTACAATTAAGGCCTGAAGAAAACATCATTGAAGGATCTTTGTAATCCACAGAATATAGTTGATTATTAATATCCTCTCTCTTTTTTTATTTCTTTAATACACCTCCTAACAAATAAATACAATCATATTATTTCATAAAACTTCTAAATATAAAAGATTATAATTATCAAATTAAAATTTATTAAATATTTACATAAATAAAAAAAAATTATATATTTTGTTTTGTTTTGTGTTAATAAATGAAAAATATTGTAAAATAATTTTTTTAATTTTTACATATTTTGAATAGGACATTAAAGAAATATAATATATAATATATAATATCATATATTTAAATATATATTTACATTATTAGGTATATAAAATATTATATTAAATATTACATATACTATACACATACACACAGATATATATATATATATATATATATATATATATATATATATATATATACAGGGTGAGGCATCTAAAACAGGCCACCTGAATAACTCCGTTGGTAAGCCGAATACAAAAAAATTGTTCAGACAAAAGTTGTATGATTTCAAGGGGGACATATGATGGTGTCATTAGTTTAATCTTGAAGAGCCACCTGAAGGACACGCGAAGGTCAGCTCCAACTTTTTAAATGGGACACCCTATATGCTTTTGCATATTCTTGTAGCTCATCTCAAGAGCTTTCCAAAACACTATAATTAAGTTAGTTTTCATTAAGTACTTTCCAAGTTATGAGGCTTGAAATCATTTTTTAATTTTACATAAACCGTAAAATATCTTGTAAAATATTCATTTTTCGATTATTTTACCTTAATACTTTTATGTACAAAATAATGAGAAAAATCAATTGGTGTAAAGAAAACTCATAGTTGTTTCGAAAAAAAAAATGTAATTTGCAATTAACAATTACATATTTTTTCTTAAAAATAACTATGTCTTTTCTTTACACCAATTGATTCCTCTCATTATTTTGTACATAAAAGTATTAAGGTAAAATAATCGAAAAATGAATATTTTACAAGATATTTTACGGTTTATGTAAAATTAAAAAATGATTTCAAGCCTCATAACTTGGAAAGTACTTAATGAAAACTAACTTAATTATAGTGTTTTGGAAAGCTCTTGAGATGAGCTACAAGAATATGCAAAAGCATATAGGGTGTCCCATTTAAAAAGTTGGAGCTGACCTTCGCGTGTCCTTCAGGTGGCTCTTCAAGATCAAACTAATAACACCATCTTATGTCCCCCTTGAAACCATACGACTTTTGTCTAAAACTTTTTTCAAAATAATCGACTCCAATCGAGATATTATCTTGTCTCAAGATAAATGCCCCACCCTGTATATATATATATATATATATATATATATATATATATGTATGTATAATATAAAAAGTTTATGTAAATATATATATATATATATATATATATATATATATATGTAAAAATTAGGATCAAATGTAAACGATATGTTAATAGGTTGAATAAGTAAAGCTAAGAAAAAGTTCATATAAACTTATATCCGAAAATGCTTTATTAAATAATTATAATCTTTCAAAGATTAGTAGCCAATTTTGTTTTTGTATTAGAAACTTTATTAAAGTTTCTAATACAGACAAAAGTTACATACATACAAAGTTTCTAATACATACTAAACAGAAACTTATTAGAAACTTTATTAAAGTTTCTAATAAGCTTCTGTGAAAAACTTTATTAAAGTTTCTAATAAGCTTCTGTGTTTCTAATATAGCCTTAGGCTGTGTTTACATCATGTATACTATAGATTTTTAGTACTGGTAGTTTATATCAAAACGCAACTTAAATAGACTTGCTGACTTGGAAACAAATAACTTTCAGTTATTATTTACATGTCTTAATGTATAGAATCTATAGATTTCTATCACATTTATTTCTATTAGATTTTAATATGTTTAATAATATAATTTTAATTTAAATTATTGTGAATTTATTTTTACAATTACAGTGAATAACTGTTTTTTCTGAATAATATGCATAATATTGTTAGCAATTCTGCCTAACAAGAGTTATAAATACAATTTTACTCGCTTATTTTTGAACATTTAATTTTGAAAATTTAACTCTTTAATAAAGCACTTTTAAATATAAGTTTATAGAAACTTTCTTTATTTATTTCCATTAACATATAAAATTTAATTCTGCTCTTTATGGATATCTGATATATTATATTTTAATTATTTACATATAAATTATAATTATAAGTAAATTCATTATAATTATAAAATTAATTATAAGATAAATATATTAAAATCATGTATGAATATATTATTATGTAATTTAATTATTATATGTAAACATATTTAATATTATATACATTTTATTATTATATATTTTTATATTATTTTAATTATTATATGTATATTTAAAATGTAATATTAAGATGTTTTCTATATATATTTTTCATTATATTTCTTTAACTCAAATCAATTAACCAACCAAATCAGTTTTGAAATCAACTTTTCTTTAACAAAAATATCAAATTAACATTTTATTTTCTATTGTAGTTTTCTAATCTTCAGTATCGTATATTTTTATAGTTTAAATTTTATTAAATCTTATTTAAAATTAGTTATAAAAAATAATAAATCTTTAATCTATTTATTGCATACTTTATAGTCTTTAATTTATAAAAACGTTTTTCTTCCAATCACTTAAAAATTATTAATGCGTTGATATTTTTTAAGGAAAAATTAATATCAAAATTAATTAAAAAATATATCGTTAAAAAATGATGCATAAAAAATAGGATATTCTGCATAAATATTCTGAATATAATACAGAAGTATAATATCCCAGGTAGCAAGTACACGTCATTTTGACACGTCATTTTCCAAACTGGTCATTTATGGTCAAGTGTCATCAAAATGACTAATTTGCTACATGACTTTATATTGACGTCTTGATATAACATTATTTTGACGTCATATTTCAATCATGAACTGACAATTATTATATTATTGATGTGATTAGTTAGTACATCGATTCTATAAAAAAATCTTTAAAAATTTTTTATATAAAATGACTTTCGCGATCAGACTTTAACAATTTTTCTTTCAAGATATGCATTTATCTGTGCACGACTCATGTTGCTTAACCACTCAAGTATTCATTAAATTAGTGCACAGTGAAAATATTAGCTATATCAATTGAGTGCAATTAAAGTATCGAAAAATATATTTTTTTTATAATACAGTTGATTGGTAAAATATATTTTTATAAAGGCAACGAAAGATATTATTTGTTAAAATTTTACATGATATTAGATATAAGTTTTTATTTATGTTTAAAATAATAATAACAAATATAAAACTTATGACCTATTTTCTTACCATATTTGCGTTTTCCAGCGTTTTCGAATAAAGCAGTTTAACCGATCTAGATTCTTCTGAAGAATAGAATAGCTGTAATTGTTCAATGATGCTCTCAAATAGGTTAATCTGCTTTATTTGACAATGCTATTAAATACATTATTATGCTAAGAAAAAGATGTCAAAATACATTTTACGACGTCAAAATGTGGTACATGTCATGACGTTAAGAATCTATGACATACGTCACTTTTACGTCATAAAAATGTCAATTCGTGATGTCAAGAATAGTCAGTGAATGACCAATTTGAAACGTCAAAATGACGTATGCTTGCTACCTGGGAAGATCTAGTAAATAAAAAGCAATATTGATAGTTCGCAATTTTGAACTGCAACAAAATGGCATAAATAGTGTCCACATTAAAAACTTATGTTTCGTTGATAAAATCTGCTGATAATAGAACATATTGTCAACATAACAACTTAATAGTAGCAGAAATTGAGCAATCTGCCAATATAGATTTATTAATGTTATCAATGTACCATTGACAAACTTATTATATTTATTTATTGTATTTTTGCTAGCATTCTGTCAACACATACACACACATATACAACATATGATAGGTCTTGCATCGATTCTTTATATATGTCTTTTTGTTAATAAAATTAAATATCTTAAAAAAATAATGTTAAACTATTGCTATCATTTTAAAGATTGCTATCAATTTAAAAAATATTTATTAAAAGTATATTAGAACATGTTTAAACATATTTAAAATATATCATTTTTGTACTAATGCTAAACTAATTACAATTATTTAACAATAAGAATAGTTAAAAATTTCTCTATTATTCTTTTTTCTTCAAATAATTTTTTGATACAGATATAATAATATGCAGACACAAATTATTTATACAATTAATATTTTGTTTCATATATTAACATACTGAAGAAAATAACAATTATAAATATGTTTGGAATAAAATTGAAAAAAAAAACATATTTTTGATTAAATATAGTTTTTTTAACATAATTAATTTTTATATTAATAATAATATATTTTCATATAAATATATTTTTCATTAATATATTTTATAAATTAATATTTTATATATATATATATATATATATATATATATATATATATATAAGTATAATTCTCCAAAAAATATTAATTAACTCAGTCTTCTATTTTATTTTTCTAATAGACATAATTATTGATTTTCTTTTGTAAACAGCAAATTGTAAACTCAAAATAAATTTTCAATTCAAGGTAATTTTTTTTAGATTTATATCTACTTGAAATTTGATGAAAATAATAGAATTTAATAACAAAATAATTTTGATTAATAATGACTTGCTAATTATTCATTCATATCTATTTTCTTAAATGTTTTTCTTACATTATTGAAATTAATATTTATTATATTGATAACATTTACACATAAAGGTTATATTAAATAAGTAAATTAAATATTGATACATGAAATTATATATGATACATCTTGTATATAAAAATACCTTATTTAAATCATTTTTAATTCAGAATATATCATTACAAAAAAGAATTAGTTAACAATAAAAAGATTTTATATTGTAATAAAAAATATGTTATATAAATTAATCAGTTATATGTATCTCAAGGCAAGATAAATTAGTTATAAATGGATTATGTCTTTTATGAATAAAATTATAGATAAGTTTTTCCAATAAAATACTTTGCTTTTGTTAAAATAAAAATAATCAGAAGATAACTTCTTCTCTATAAGTAATATAGATATATTTAATAGTATATCTTTAATATATTTGTCTAAATTTATAGTTAAACATAAATTAGTTACATTAATGCATAAAATATAATTAAAAATATAAATAGATTTCTATACATCTAAATATTATTTAAACAGAAAATATATTTATTTCAGATAATATATATCTACCAATTTTATATTAATATTATACTAAGTTTATTAATTTTATTATACTAATTTTATTATACTAAGTTTATTAATTTTATTAATATAAAACTTTTATTAATATTATACCAAATTTTTTACATATTTTAAATAAGTATAAAACTTTTTTTGATTATAACATAACTGATTAATTTATATAGGGTGTCCTATTTTAATGTCCCACCCCAAATAACTTTCTTATTTTTAATTTTAGAAAAAAATGTTTCCGAAGTTACAAAAGTTGTATGGTTTCGAGGGAGACATAAGATGATACCATTGGTTTGACCTTGAAGAGTTATTTAAAGGTCACATGAAGGTTACCTTTCTTAAATGGAACCTACATTTTCTCATTACATATTCTTGTAGCTTATCTCGAGAGCTTTCCAAAACACTATAATAAAATATTTTTTCATTGAGTATTTTTCGAGTTATGAGGCTTGAAATCATTTCTTAATTTTACATAAACCGTAAAATATCTTGTGAAATATTCATTTTTCGATTATCTTACCTTAATAATTTTATGTACAAAATAATGAGAGGAATCAATTGGTGTAAAGAAAAAACAACACATTACAGTTGTTTTTAAGAAAAAAATATGTAATTTGCAATTAACAATTACATATTTTTTCTTTGAAACAACTATGTGTTTTTTTTACACCAATTGATTTCTCTCATTATTTTGTACATAAAAGTATTAAGGCAAGATAATCGAAAAATGAATATTTTACTAGATATATTACAGTTTATGTAAAATTAAGAAATGATTTCAAGCCTCATAACTCGAAAAGTACTCAACGAAAAAATATTTTATTTTAGTGTTTTGGAAAGCTCTCAAGATAAGCTATAAGAATATGTAATGAGAAAATGTAGGTTCCATTTAAGAAATTGAAGGTGACCTTAATGTGACTTCCAAATAATTCTTCAAGGTCAAACCAATGATACCATCTTATGTCCCCCTCGAAACCATACAACTTTTGTCTGAAACATCTTTTTCTAAAATTAAAAATAAGAAAGTTATTTGGGGTGGGACATTAAAATGGGACACCCTGTATAACATATTTTTTGTAAAATAAAATCTTTTTATCATTAACTAATTTTTTTTGTAATGATATATCCTCAACTGAAAATGATTTAAATAAGGTATTTTTTATATATAAGATGTATTATATATAATATGTATCAATATAATACGTAATATAAATATATGAACTAACATGGAACTTATCTGGTTTTCTGAAAATAAATATGAAATAAATATAAAATAAATATTTTTAATTTATATATTATTATATATTATATATTTTAGAATAAATTAAACATTAATTATATAGCTGTCCTTATTAAATAACTTGTTTAATTGATATTTTCTATATTATTTTATCCAAAAAAATTATATAACACAAATATATAAGGATAAATATGATAAAATATGATATTTGTGTAGATATAAAACAGAATCAACTAGCACACATAATATTTTGTAATTAATTATTAAATTTATCCTCTTTTAATATTATATTATATTACTTTTATTCAATTTATTTCTTTTTTTATTTCAATATTTTAATATTGTATTACTCATACAGCACAGACCATTGTTACATTGCAGCAATATTGTAACAATATTGCGATGTTGCTGCAATGTAACAACAATGATCTGTGCTGTATGGGTAGTAGTCTTTTCGTTACTATTAAGTATTGCATATTATTTTGATACAATCATCTTTAATAACTGGAAAAATTTATTAATTTTTATATTTGTAATATATGAGAATATTCTTCGTATATATTAGAAATGATCTTCGAAATATATTAAATGCAAATGTCACATTTAAATAATTATTTACTTTAATATATATATAGAAATAAGAAATAATACATTATTTTTTAATAATAAAATTATAAATTCGTTGAAATTAGTGCTTTATGTTTTATATTTAAGATATTGACAGCTTGTCAAACGATAATAGTTTGTGTTTTCTACTATGAGATTAAATCATACACAAACAAACTATTATTAAAAAATTTCTTAAATACTTTCTTAATGATTATATATATATATATATATATATATATATATATATATATATACTTCTGTGAAATTATTAAATGCCACTTACTCTTTACTTAATTTTTTGTCTTAAAGAAAAACGATTTGTCCGTTTTATTTTCTACACTTTCTACACTTAAATTACTTGCTCGCTCACTCATCGATACATGATATATCCATTTTATTTTAATTGAAAGTTCTAAAAAGTGCAAGCAAAGAGAGCTATCCAATAGAATATTCCACTTGAAAGTCACATTAAACCGGTATCAGATTATCCAAGAAAGATTATTGAAACTAAAGGTTGAAGATCGGATGTCGTTCAATCGTTTGATCATATCATGATTATGATTTGTATTATATCTTGTAAAATTACATTTAGGAAGAAATTGCGCTATCCTTGCTTGTACATTTAGTGTCACCATGCTTTTACACATCGACTTAATAATATATAGACGTAGCACTAGCAGCCAATGAGCACAGGCATAAGGGCCAGTATTCATATTCCGTCCTTAGAACTCCTGCACACAGGACGCGGCAACGCATGGCTCGTTTATAAAAGTTATAAGGCCATTCTACAATGGCCGTAGCATAAGGTTGTAAGGCGTAAGACTCAAGAAATTGACCAATCACAGTCAAGTATTAAGAGAATACTCGATTGTGATTGATCAATTTTTTGAGTCTTTCGCCTTACAACCTTCCCTGCCGAAAATGGTCGATTAAAACCGATTAAAATAAAAAGTAATTCGAATCGATCGGGATTTCTGCACCAAAAATACGGTATTAAAATCGATTGAAAATAGCCTGCCGAAAATTGTTGATTAAAACCGATTAAAACAAAAAGTAATTTGAATCGATCGATTTCTGTATCAAAAACGGTAGAGAACCTCTAAGAGAGAGAATGGACAACTGATCAAGCTTTTTCATGATTGGCTGGCAGAAAATGTATCAATTTTAGCTATTGCGACGCCAATGCAAAATATGATACACACAAATAGGTTAATATATATGTGTCATGTGTGTCCTATTTGTGTGTCATCATATTTTGCATTGGCGTCGCAATAGCTAAAATTGATACATTTTCTGCCAGCCAATCATGAAAAAGCTTGATCACATGTCACATGATCAGTTGTCCATTCTCTCTCCTAGAGGTTCTCTAAAAAACGGTATTAAAGCGGATTGAAACCCTAACAGCACAGATACTGAGAATGTTCGGAGAATATCGCAAAAGTACAATGCATATATTCTCAGAACATTCGAGATACATAGTATGATCAGAGAGAAGACTGAGAGGGGTCACGCTGCCCTTTTTCAGGGAATGCTTTTTACCCGCCATAAAATGGCGCTAACTGGATCCATTTTACGACCAGCGGTACTACATGGCCGGATCCACTTTTCGCTGCCACGGTAAAACGACCGATTGGTTCATGTCCGTACTAGATCCATAATTGTGGATCTTAAAAGTATGAAACATCATACATTTATTAATTTTTATTACATATTATTAACAGCGCGTGATCTTTTTTCACTTTAGCATATATTATATAGTAATATATATGTATATGCGTGTATAATATATATAAAATTAAAATGCTTATAATATATATAAAATTAAAATGCTTATTTTATTTCACATAAAATTTAATGTTTTAATAATTTCAATAAAAGTATTTTAATAAAATATATATGTGTATATTACTACAATAATAAATATTACCAAAATGAAAAAAAGATCATATGCAATAATGGGTGTGTTTCGGGGTCGCATCGCTACAGTAGCGCTACAGCTTTTTTGCTACAATTGTAGCAGAAAAAAATGGCGACCGCTACAATTGTAGCAGAAAGTCCTGAAACGTACTTTTATAGCGCTACCCAGACAGCACAAAAAGGCCAAAAGATGTCTTAAAGATGTCTAGAGGACTTTCTAGAAGACGTTTTTAAGTCGTTTTTTAGATGTTTTTTGGACATGTGTGTTGTCTGGGTACTATAGCGCTTTAATAACGTGAAACACGCTTATGTAGCGAGTAGATGTAGTAGGCCGGTTCTAACCCAGGTCCTCTGAGGGAGGTGAGGTGCGAGGGGATCTCAGCGGAGCGGGGGTATGACGTCACGCGGAGGTTGGGGGGGGTCACGTTAATGACAAGCATAAACAAAAGAGCGGTATTCTTTTGAAAAGGATTTTAGGCCTAATCCTTTTTTGGGTCTAATCCTTTTTTGGGTCTAATCCTTTTTATTGTTCTTTTATTTTATTTTATTGTATTTTATTATATTTTATTATATTTTATATTTTATTATATTTTGAAAAAGATTTTGGGGACCTAATCTTTTTTATTGTTCTTTTATTTTATTTTATTGTATTTTATTATATTTTGAAAAAGATTTTGGGGACCTAATCTTTTTTATTGTTCTTTTATTTTATTTTATTGTATTTTATTATATATTTTTATATATATTTTATATATATTTATATATATTTATATATATTTTTATATATATTTTTATATATATTGTATTTTATTATATATTTTGAAAAAGATTTTGCGGACCTAATCCTTTTTATTGTTCTTTTATTTTATTGTATTTTATTTTATTTTTTAAGGAAAAATTTTATTTTTTAAGGAAAAATTTTAATAGCGCTAATGATCGGCTGCTTTGTCTGGGGATTACTCGATTAGACACAATACAATTGGACACAATTGGCTTTGATTGACTAATCGGAGGTGTCTCCCTCGTTTACATATCAGCGCCGATGTTCGGCTGCTTTGTACTCTCGAGGTACACCCGTAATAGATAATTCCAGGTTTTTTTTCCCGTTCGACGTATAAACAATAGAGATTAAGCGGACAAGCTTTCAGAGATTATCGGGGGATACAAAGAAAATTTTCTTCCAAATGGAATACTATAGAAAACCTTTTATATTCTTTTTTTTTTTTTTTTACTCTTATACATATTTTTATGACTTTATTTCATAAACTTACATTTTTGAGATATTTCAGTCCAACCTTTTCAAGCAATCTGTGTAATATAATAGCGCATTTTTTCTACGATCCTAGGTACATTTGCAAGAAAATTTTCTTTCGTGTCAACCCCCAACAGTCTCTGAAAGCTTGTTGGTCGAATATAAGAAGGATCGAAGCGCAGCAGATCATAGTACATCATTTGAAAACGCATCGACACGTCGGTAGCAAAAAATAGTGTTCTCTCGGAAAGTGTTTTGTCAGAAAAAAGATAGTGTTCTGTTAGTCTTCTGTGATATATATATTGTGTGATAATACATAAAATGGAAAACGAAGACGAAGATCGCGTGTTGTCGTCCGACAGTGACTGTATTAGTGACTGCAGTGAGGATAGTGACTCTGCACTAGTCAGATCAAAAATAGTATCTATCGCAGAAATTAATGCATTAAGCGGACGAAAAAAATATTGCACGATATCCTTTTATTACTCGACTGGCGGCGCTTTAGCAGTATGTGCGTCCTGTATGATTAGGCTGCAAGGTGTAGACCCCATAGAGATGTATGCCGTACGAAAACATGTGATTCAGACATTGGATGCAACGGATGGACGATACTATTCTAATTGCAGAGATCCGTTATATCTAACATTTCCGTGCAATATGTGTCCACAATGCACGTGAAAAAAAACATTAAAAAAGTGTCCACAATGCACGTTGTGAAAAAAAACATTAAAAAAGTGAATAAGACTAAAGTGTGCGAGCAACGGAATAAAAAATTAATGAACATGTCGGTGGTGGAATATTTAAGAAATCGTGAACTTGGCGGAAGAAATTCTCCAATCGCGACCTCCCATCTAAAATCGTATATAAAGATTAGAAAGAGGGATATACGAATTAGAAAGAGGAACAAATTAGAGGCAACCATTTGCCGAGATTGCTGTTTGCCAGGCGGAAATCGAGAAGCGTGTTCCGAAAGGATGCGAGGAATCCATCAGCATAACTATCTTGAATATATGATCAGTTATGATTCTGATTCGGATTCTGATCAATAATTGGAGGTAGGTCGCATGTGTAGGTATTTATTATCAAATTATTCAAATAATTAATAAATTTTTTTTTATGTGCAGAAAGAGTCACCACTCTTCCACCGGCCGCTCCACCATCGCCTCTCATCGCCGCCCCACCATCGCCTCTCATCGACACCACCACCACCACCATATCGTCGTTGCCATCGCCCTCCTATTATATTATATATTATATATTCAATTATATATTATTCATTTTATATTTTTTGTATTCTTTTTATACTTTTATAATTGTATTATATAATTGTATATTGCGTATTTTAAATTCTTTAAAATTTCATTTTGCACACTATGTATATAATACACATTTATATTTTAAATTCTTTAAAATTTCTTTTGCACACTATGTATATAATACACATTTATATTTTGTATATTTTAAATTCTTTTGCACACTATGTATATAATACACATTTTATTTTATTTTATTAAAAATTAATTAATATAAAAAATCTTATTTATTTTCCAAATTCCTCTCTCCCTCTCTTTTAATTGCTCCATTTATTACTAAATTATAAGAAAACTATTAAAAAATTATATTAAATTATCAAAAATATTTTCATTGTGTGATATCTCTTCTCTCACGTGCACCGTATCACTTCTTCTGTCTCTTTCTTTCTTTCCGAGTGTTTGCTCTCTCATGATAATTCTCTCGCAAGGAGCTATGCATGAAAGCTGGGACGGGAGAGCGCGCCAAACGCAAAGAAAGTACACCATGATATAGATTTATAACTATTTATTCTGTTTATATATTTAGTATACAAATATAATTTTTGTCTTACATATTAAGAATTAAAAGCTAAAGATGCCAGCTCGCAATCGACGAGTTCATGCTTGTTGAAAACATCACTCGCGCGTATTACATATGATACTTCTTTCGGATTCGTTACAGTGGACGCGATATTGCAGAATTGTGTAAATTTAACATCAACTGTTTGGATAATTTTATCTAATCGATCAAAAGTTGCATCTATGCATTGATCGAGATCGAACATACGATGTAACGTCGATTCGACCATCATCATGCGTACATCCGAAGTTTCGAGACTTATGAGTTTGACATCGTTAATCGTACGAACTCTCACTGTTAGCGGTCCAACGCTTATAAAATTGTAGTCATCTTTAGAGTCGTTCCGAAGTAAATTTTGAATATTGTGACGCTGTTCGTAGAGTCCTTTCCATGTTTCGAGAGATAATATCAGTTCCTTTCCTCGATGATCTCCTATGGCAATCTCCATGTAACTCGGTGGACCCACGTTGATACCAATTTCGAGGAATTTGAATTCCGTAGCTGTCAATGCGTATCGTCTACCTAGTATACGAGTCGCACGACGCTCCAACGAAATGCTATAGAAAAATTAAAATTAAATAATAGTAATAATAATAAAATTATAAAAATAGA